ATCATATTGGCAAGCCGCAGTTTGGAATGTTAGAGTTTCCCCACGTAATCAAGCTTGTAGATGTCCGCCTTGTTCTGTCTGCTATGTTACAACTTCATCTTTGCTAGCGGCACAGACTGCAACGTTTCTGCGGATAGAACATCGTATTTACATGGAGAATTTCCTTTGTGTGGACATTAACGTAAATTGTAAAGTAAGTGTAGTTACTGAAAGATTATATGTTAAATTGAGATTGATTATAATTATATATTATTGAATGTTCAGTTGTTTTCTTTTAATTGCTTCTACCAGGATTGTGAAGTCTCTCTTGCAGGTATGACTGACTGGCTGTCGCTTTTTAAACGTAATTGACGGATTATCCTAGTGCACATCAGACCATTCAGTCCATAAGTGCTGGAACTCTCTTCTTAATGTATCACCCAGTGTGTAGTTACTGATGACACCGGTTCTAGTTTTGTGAGTTTGCTATTAGTAATAGTAGGTTCTCCTTGCAACTACGGCCACATATTAGGGGGGTACGCCGGAGTTCAGTCCCCTGGCCGCATTGCAATTATGGAATGGAGAAGGAACGAATCACACAACAAAGTGAGGTCGACATGGCTGGTAGACCACGTGCTGTGACTCAAATTAGCAACCGCGTTCTTGCGACGCAAAACTTAGTGGCCGTGAATGTGAAACTTGCGGATCTATATGCCGTAATTATCTATAAGCCTGCGTGGTTGCAGTGGCTAGCTGAGCATAGAGTTATAAGGAACATGCAGTAACCTTAATCCTAATCCTAACCCTAACCCTATAATGACAGCAGTGCACTGCACCCAACCCTAACCCTAAACCCTAACCCTATGATGACAGCAGTGCACTGCACGCTGTCTATCGCTCACACTGTCTATCGCCAGCACACACTAATTACGTCATTTGTTTCCCTCCCTCTTTTCCACTCCGTAATTGCAATGCGGCCAGGGAACTGAACTCCGGCATACTCCCCCAATATGTGGCCGTAGTTGCAAGGAGAGCCGTAATAGTATTACTATTAAAAATAGTATTATTACTAATATTACTATTCTTAGTTGCGTCTATCCTCCGAATAACGGCCACATATTATGGCGGCTAAAAACACACACTGACAAGGCCTCATTAACTCGTGTGTTGTAAACATTCAAAATCTTGGGCTATCCTCCGAATAACGGTCCGAAATTATCAAGGCCGAAAATATACCCTAACATGGACTCAGTCACATTTAAATTGCGGACCTCTTCCGGCGACTACACAGCATACAGCCAAGAGTATCTCCCACACCGCACAAAGCTGATACTCACGAGCAAATAAAATGGAAAAGCTGCATGAGATGCAGTAGCTGCTGCTCGTGAGTCCCAGTCATCTAGTTTAGCCACGCTCCGCACCTCACCTAGCGGCGCTGGAAATACTCTTGACTTTAACTCTGCGGAAGCTTTTTTGCGGTATGCTGTGTAGTTGCCGGAAGAGGTCCGCAATTTACATGTGACTGAGACCCTGCTAGTGCCGCATTGGTAACGCAGTTTTCACCGCCGAGAGTATTCCCCGCGCCGCTACGCGTGACACGGAGGGGGGCTAAACTAGATGGCTGGGACTCATGAGCAAATAAAATGAGGAAGCTGCATGATGCAGTAGCTGCTGCTCGTGAGTCCTAGCAATCTAGTCTAGCCCCACTCTGCACCACGCATAGTGGTGTGGGAGAAACTGTTGGTGGCGAGTTCAACTTGGCGGTTTGTTGCGTTTTGCGACATCATTGCCTGAAATTTATCGTACTTTTGCCACGGCATATTCGCCGGAAAGAAGTCTGCAATTTACATGTGATTGAGGCCCTGTCAGGGTGTGTTTTTAGCCGCCATAATATGTTGCCGTTATTCGGAGGATAGCCTTAGTTGCTTACCACTACCTCTTCCCTTCCTACATACATCGTTATTATCAAGCGTTACTAATTTTAGCTTGCTGCTCCTGCAGCCTGGTCCCAGTTGCTTACTCACAAGATATCATTGTTTAAACTCCTACTACTTATTCTTCTTCACGTTCACCGTCTGTTAACTCCGGCGAAAATGTCTAGTTGTTCATCCACTTTTGGATTCTAGCCCTGTTCCAGATTTGGAGTGTTGTGTGCACATCTGTTTTACAGGCACAACTCATTTGCATGCAGACTGTTGGTTCCTTGCCTCTCAGGCAGATCTACTCTGACTTCGAAGGAAGCTCCCATTAGTCAAATCTTACGACATGTTTTCGGGCAAGCATTGGGTCTATTCTTGTTTTTTCCATCAATGGGACCCCGGAATCCACACGGGGAACTACTACTTAACTCTTTAAGGCCCAAACAACGGTGTGAGCGTAGTTTGAGAAGTTCTGTTCTGCCCAAACAACGGTGTCATCGTTAATTGTGTATCTCTTACATTTTGCTTCGCATGCGCGTTCGTACTAGTTTCTAATGTTTGGAGGTACGAATAACCTATTCAGGGAAAGTCACTCTGCCGAAATCCTTTTAGTTTCACTTCTTGGACTAAACCACACGTGGATAATTTGAGAGAAAAAAACATCAAATTGTTTTAACAGTTTATTTTCTAAGTTCGTTTTTGAGTGCACTGAATACCAATGTTATAACCACAAGAACAGGTCGCAGAATGCGTCTTTCTGCGGCCGAAGCTCTGAAATTGTTTCAGTCAGATGTTTTTAATTGTGAAAATGATAATAAAAATTTAGATTTTTCGGAAAGTGATTCGGACAGTGAATTTTCACCAGTGAAGCTGAGCGATCAGCTGTTCGGAATCTAGCGATTCTGATGAGTTTATTACACAGACAATGTCCCATACTACCGTATTTATGATGTAAGAGAAGGAAAGTACTCTAAACAAAGAGATAGTACTATACTATGGCTAAGCTACATTGAAATCATTGCAGCTACAGTCTGTAAATAACTGTACAAAGTGAATAGTAAATAGTGTGTGTGTTATGGCTCATTTTTCTGCCATCTTTTCTCTGAAATTTTGCTTAGCACTTGGTGTGAACTAAGAGCCCCTGAGTGATAAACTAACCCAGAAAGTTATCATAACTTTAGAATATGTTAGGAAATTGAACAAACTTTGAAGTTTTGTTCTCAAATTTGGATATTTACTATTCTTGTGGCTGCAAAACCATGGTAATTGAAGAATTTTTTTGTGAAATGTTGTCCTTGTGAAATTATCACCTGCTGAATTCTTCTTTTCCACTAACTATAACAAAATTAAACAAACACTTATCATCAGATTCAGAATGTACACTCATTTCTCGTTTAAAAAATATATACTGTTATAGGGATTAAAAGAATATTACAGTCTCTACAGCCTTTCTTGTACACCCACCCCTCTGCCATTTTTGTAAAGGGAAATTAATGTGGGCCAAGTCTGTCAAAATTCATGGGCCTGAAAGAGTTAAAATTAAGTCACTTTGTCAAGAGTTGTAAGCCCGGTCCCAGTTGCTGACTCACATAATATCATTGTTTAAATTACTCATCATCATCATGTATCGGGTCCTTTGCAGAACATCGCTCTCATCATGGTCTGCCTGAAAGAAACTTGGTCTCTCGCTAGTTCTTCTGCCTCATGTACTTTCATACTCAAGCAGTCACTTATATCATGTGCCCATTTTCATGTCGGTCGGCCCCTGCCCTCCTTCCTGGTACCATGCCTTCTGCTATAATATTTTTCCAATCCGTCGTGGCCCTTGATATAACCCAAATATTTCAGCTTCCGAGACAGGATGCTGTTTATTAGCCAATCTTCCTTGATGTTCAGATCTTTCAAGATGTCAGTATTTCTCTTCTTCTTTGTCCAAGATATTCTCTGAGAATCTTTCTGAAGCATTTCAGCTCGAAAGCTTCTGCTCTCTTTCTTTTGGACTGAGAGATAGTCCACGACTCACATCTGTATGTAGCCACAGTTTAAATTACTACTACTTCAAATTAAGTCACTTTGTCAAGAGTTGTAAGCCCGGTCCCAGTTGCTGACTCACATAATATCATTGTTTAAATTACTCATCATCATCATGTATCGGGTCCTTTGCAGAACATCGCTCTCATCATGGTCTGCCTGAAAGAAACTTGGTCTCTCGCTAGTTCTTCTGCCTCATGTACTTTCATACTCAAGCAGTCACTTATATCATGTGCCCATTTTCATGTCGGTCGGCCCCTGCCCTCCTTCCTGGTACCATGCCTTCTGCTATAATATTTTTCCAATCCGTCGTGGCCCTTGATATAACCCAAATATTTCAGCTTCCGAGACAGGATGCTGTTTATTAGCCAATCTTCCTTGATGTTCAGATCTTTCAAGATGTCAGTATTTCTCTTCTTCTTTGTCCAAGATATTCTCTGAGAATCTTTCTGAAGCATTTCAGCTCGAAAGCTTCTGCTCTCTTTCTTTTGGACTGAGAGATAGTCCACGACTCACATCTGTATGTAGCCACAGTTTAAATTACTACTACTTCAAATTAAGTCACTTTGTCAAGAGTTATAAGCATCATATCATGTAACAGATCCTTTAGTTTACAAAACTAACAGACATGGTATTCACCAGTGTTCAAAACACAGACACAGCTTTACCCAAGCTTCTCTTTTGTCCTGTACCAATCTTCATGCTGGTTGGCCCTGCCCCTCTTACAAGCATATTTTCCTTGATATTCAGATCAATTTAATTTCCTTGTGGGTTCTGGGACCCTGTTTTGGCCATGAAGAAAAAAAAGAATAGACCCACTGCCCTCTTAACAAAAAACAAAACAAAAAGTGTAATAAAATTTGATTAATTAGTTTTTTCTTTAAAGTCGGAGTACAGCTATCTGAGAGGTGAGGAACCAACAGTCTGCCTAAAGAGCAAGATCTGTAAAATGAATGTGCATGAAAAACTCAAGTTCTGTAACAAGATTAAAGTCTAGAAGTGGATGAACAACAAGAACTTTCCTCTGGAGTTTACTAACAGCCTATAATTTTCTTGTGTCTTGTCAGCAGAATGAGCAACCAGTGGAGCAGTGGTCAGTTTCAGTCTGGTCTTCCTTCCCAAGGAAACCAAGTGAGGATGTTTGATCCCACCCAGTTCCAGGCACCAGCTGCTCATGGTAAACCTCGGTTGCACACTAGGCAGCAGACTGGTGGTACCCCAGCACCACAGCCTGCTCCTCCACTTGCAGGTGCCCAGTCTTCTTGGAACAGCTGGAACACTTGGGATTTGAATTCAGAGTCTGCTGGGACTCAAGGTGTTGATCAACAGCAGCAGCAACAGCAGCAGCAGAATCAGCATACAGGGCAGCCTGATGTGAGCAGCGGAGCTGGAGTGACTCAGGATTACAGTGATAACCAGTATATCAGTTCTTGGAATCAGGGGTGGGATGGTCCTAGTCAGTACTCACAACCAAGTCAAGCTTATGCTCCAGCTGATACTGGTGTGTCATACCAGAGTCAAGAGTTGCATCAACAGCAGCAGAAGCAACTACAGCAGCAGCAGCAACTACAGCAGCAGCAGCCGCCTCATTGGGCACCTCCACAGCAGGACACAGGCACATATAATCAGTATGAGGGCAGCATGTATGGCCAGCAATATTACACTAGTAGTCCTGCTTCACAGCAGCAGCTCAGCCTACAGAATCAGCAGGTGTACGGGCAGCAGCAGAGGCAACAGGAGGCTGAAAGTCAAGGTCAGGTTTATCAGCAGGGTTATGAGCAGTACCGAGATCCCACAGATGCTGGCTACAGCTATAAGGATAGTGCCAACACATGGGTGACATCTGGGGGAAGTGCTCAGTGGGCTGGTGGTAATAGTGATCAGCCGTCACAGCTGACAGATGCTGGAGATAATGGGTTTGGTGCACAGCAACATTTGTATAGCTTACAGAACCCGATTTCTCAAAGCTTGCCAGCCTCTTCCAGTGTCCAGCATTCTGGCAACAATGTGGCTTTACCTGGATCAGACCTAGAAGTGTACACTGCTGATGATGATGATGGAACAGTGTCTGGATTCTTTAGCAAAGATGATGATGGAGACATCTTGGACTCACAGGGGCATGGATTCAGTTATAGTTCAGATGTTAAAGGAGGTGGTTCATTGGGTATAAACTATCCTTTGGCGGAGACTCATAGAACAGGTTCTGATGTTGGTGATTCTGGTCTTTCAGCATTCAGTGCATTAGACAGCAGAGCTGAGCCTGGAAATACGTACAGTACTACAGCAAAGGATGGTCTTTTAACCCAGCGGGAACGAGATGTGCAGAATACAAGCCTGAATAGTCCAGTAGCCGGAGGTACATCACTGGGTGAACAGTATCAGGTAGATGCAAGCGTACATCGTAGCCATGATGCTGCTGCCGAATATATCCAAAGGCAGCCCAGGGAAGAGTTGAGTGATCCCTTTCACAGTTCACCAAGTCTGCCTCTGAATACAAACATTAGGCCGGCATCACCTGATGGAGACCACCCTGGGTCTTCTGGGTCTGGAACCTCTGGTGGATCCTCAGGACTGACAGACTGGGAAATTGTTCCTGCACAGAGTGGATCATTGACTCCTGGTAATAATAATTCTGTGGATAGCAGTGTGGTGCTTGACAAGCCCGAAGGCAGCACAAGCATGCCACAAAGTTATAGCAGTGCTGAGCATCCTGTCAAACAACCCCAAGGAACACAGCCTCAGAATTACTTCACTCCCGCATCAGCTCCACCTGCTTCTTCCAGCTCAGGAGATTCGTTTCAGCGTCCATCAGTGTATGATCCTTCAACCACAACTGCTCGCATCCCTGCTCAACCCTATCATGAAAGTAGTGGACATGTTAGAGGAGCAGCAGTTGGGATGTCAGGTCAGCTGAAGGGAGAGGACTTACTTCATCCATCGCAGCCCACAGTTCAGATGCAGGCCACTGAGCTTGTCTCAGGGAATTTAAATATTCCCTTGCCTTCTATTCCACAGCCAGATGGTACAGCTAACCCGTTTAGAAGGGATGGGGGGAGAAGTCCAAGGTATGCTGGGGTCCCACCATCTGTTAATTCTCAAAACCCATTAAATAATGCTTCATTAGCATTGAGAGGACCATCTGATCCGGCTGAATATAAAAATCCTGTAGTTACTAGTCAGATTTTAGACTCTCAGAGGTCATCTTATGCAACAACTAACACATTAGCTAAAACAAAACTGCTTTCAAATCCATCATCTGAAGATGGAAACTGTGTCAGCAAACGAGATTCTGATCACACTACAAACACAACTGATATCTCAGCAAAAAACACTTCCTTCAAGGCTGAAGATGCTTCCATGGTCGGTCAGCAGCAGCACCTTCATTCAGCATTCCATCCTGTTGGTCGCCAGCAACAGACATTGTCCCCATCAGCTTCTTGGGACAGCTCTGAGAAACCAACACCTAACATTCTGCTGGCTCCAGTAGTTCCCCTAATAATTCCAGCCATGAACCCCTATTCTGTCTCAGCCGCACAAACAGGACATTCTACGCTTACTTCATTCACGGCAAGCAGAGCATCTGGGCAGGAAAACACTGAACATAAACTAGAGAACAGAAAGGTGGGTATTTTACAAATAGATATGTCGATTAAAGACCAAAAAAATTCCTTATTTAAACACTTGTACATCTTGCATAACGTCGCCATGTTATGAGAAGAGGGAAACTAGAACATGTTGTGACCACTGGAAAGATCTGTGGAAGGAGGGATAGAGAAAGACAATGAGAAGATTCTTGACAGTCTTGCTGCATGGCATGGAAGTGTGTCGTCACACGAACTGATACATGCTGCAGGAGATCCCAGATTGTGGAGAGGCATGGTCGACCACGCCAGTCGGCAAGGCACCTGATGATGATGATTCTGAGAATCTCGATATAGCATTTCGGCTCAAAGGCCCCTATTTTCTTTTCTTAAGGACTGTGAGATAGTCTGCATCTCAGATCCGTATGAGGCTAAGGAAAGATGCTCTCAAAATGTTGACTCTGATTTCTTTGATGGTGCTTAACCATAAACTTTAAATTCTGAAACCATTATACAGCTTGATCTTATTTACATACATCTGAATAATCACCCATCATCATCATGTAGCAGGCCCTTTGCAGAACGTCGCTCCCATCACAGTCTGCCTGAAAGAAACTCGGTCTCTCGCCAGTTCTCCCGCCTCATGCACTTTCACACTCAAGGAGTCACTTATATCCTATGCCCATCTTAGTGTCGGTTGGCCCCTGCCCCTCCTTCCTGGTACCATGCCGTCTGCTATAATTTTTTCCAATCTCTCGTGGCGCTTGATATGACCAAAAATATTTCCGCTTCCAAGACAGGATGCTGTTTATTAGCCGATCTTCCTTGATGTTCAGATCTTTCAAGATGTGAATATTTCTCATCTTCTTTGTCCAAGATATTCTGAGAATCTTTCTATAGCATTTCAGCTGAAAAGCCCCTATTCTCTTTCTCAAGGACTGAGAGATAGTCCACAACTCACATCCGTATGTAGCCACAGGGAAGATGCATGCTCTCAAAATTCTAATAATCACTAGGAGACCAAAATTAGTATTTTGAGAGCATGCATCTTCCCTGTAGCAACATACAGATGTGAGTCGTGGACTTTCTCCCAGTCCTTGAGAAAGACATTAGGGGCTTTTGAGCTGAAATGCTATAGAAAGATTCTCAGAATATCTTGGACGAAAAAAGAGGAGAAATACTGACATCTTGGAAGATCTGAACATCAAGGAAGATTGGCTAATAAACATCTTCCTGTCTCCGAAGCTGAAATATTTTGGTCTTATCAAGCGCCACAACAAATTTGAAAAAATTATAGAGGCAGACCGTGATGAGAGCGACGTTCTGCAAAGGACCTGCTATGTGATGATGATGAATAATCACTTGAGTGGTTTTAAGATATGGGCCAACAATTCTGTTGTCTTAAGTGAATAAACATGATAGAAAATATATACTCCTTATTGAAATAGGACAGAAACATGCTGGATTGTTACTTTTAAAAAGGTTTTTAAAATAGTTTTTCAAATAAACAGTTTCTGGACATTATAATCGAGAAGACTTACAAGTGACAAGGCTCTTGGCTTTTGTTCTGCCCTATGACATGAAGACACCTGTCTACCTGTCTACAACCTTAAAGCACCTGTCTTCTTCCTCCTTTACCCTTAAAAGGGTGGTTGGCTGTTTGTTTTGTGGTTTACAGCTAGGCTGCAAAATGTGCGCCTTTCTTCCCAGCACATCCAATTTCACCAAGAGCTTCATTAGTCTAATGTTAGGACATGCTTGTTGAAAAAGGCTGTCAAGAATCTACTTGCATTGTTTTCCTCTGTTTCATTTTTCCCCCTCAGATCTTTCCAATGGTCATAACATGTTCCAGTTTCCTTCTTCTCATGATTTAAAAAAAATGATGGCTGTCTCTTTCTGATGTTTATGATGAGTTTTCGTTGAGCCCTCACCTTTTTCCAAACATCTGGGTTACTATTTTTAGGTGATCAAGGAATGTTAAGCATTTTTCTGTAAAACCACATTTCCGAGGCATCAAGAAGTTGGTTTTTTTTTTCAATAGTTTATACATTGTCCAGGATTCAAAATCATATTTTAAAACTAGCCCTTGCCTTTTTCAAAACATCTGGGTAACTCTTTTTAGGTGATCAAGGAATGTTAACCATTTTTCTGTAAAGCCACATTTCTGAGGCATCAAAAAGTTGGTTTTTTCAATTGTTTATTAATTGTCCAGGATTCAAATCCATAATTTAAAATTAGCCTTTGCCTTTTTCAAAACATCTGGGTTACTATTTTTAGGTGAATCAAGGAATGTTAACCATTTTTCTGTAAAACCACATTTCCAAGGCATCAAGAAAGAAGTTTTTTTTCAATTGTTTATTAATTGTCCAGGATTCACAACCATTTTTTAAAACTAGCCTTTCCCTTTTTCAAAACGTCTGGGCTACTCTTTTTAGGTGATCAAGGAATGTTGAGCATCTTTTTGTAAAACCACATTTCCGAGGCATCAAGAAGGTTTTTTTCAATTGTTTATTAATTGTCCAGGATTCACAACCTTATTTTAAAACTAGCCTTTGCCTCTTTCAAAACATCTGGGTTGCTCTTTTAGACTGTCCAAGAGCACCATATAGTTGACAAATAAGATACCCCCATGTGGGTTCCTGGGCCCCATTGTGGGGAAAACAAGAATAGATCCACTGCCTCCCCAAAAGCATGTTGTAAGAGTCGACTAATTGAGGAGCTTCCTTTGAAGTCGGAGTGCATCTGCCGGAGAGCCAAGGAACCAACAGTCTGTATTCAAGAGAATTAGATTTGTAAAACTGATGCACACGCAACACTCAGGTTATGTAGCAGGACTGCAGTTCAGTAGTGGACGAGCAACCAGAACTTTCCGCCAGAGTGTACAGCTGGTGAACGCGAAGAAGAAGAAGAAGAATCTGACATACATCTATAATTACCCTCTTTGTATTTTCTGTTGAGCAGGCACAGAGCAGAGCCACTGACAAGAAAGAAGAGAGAAGCAGAGGGCAGAGAGAGAAGGACAGACATCATACCAGAGAGGAAGAAGAGGAGGAGAATCGATCTTTTGACTCCCTGGATGAAATTGATTCAGTTGCAGGACGGCAGTAGGTACCACTTGTACCTTTAAAAAAATAAAATTAAAAAAACATTACAGCTTGTTGTTGTTTGCACCTTTCCATCTTTCTAGGTGATCGTGATGTGTTGTGCTATGAGGAGATAATGACTCACCTGCCCATGGTGATGGCCAATTAAGGCCAGGGATGAAGTATAGCACACTATAGCACAATGCCTGGACAGTATTGTAAAGACGTTTTGTTGGCCATGCATCCCGATCCCTCTCTCGGTCTGCCTTGTTTACCCCATAGGAAAGTTAACACCAGTATGTTTGGAACAAAGCAGGCTGCAGAAGCTGCCGGATCATAAGAGCAGTGCTCTGTCTGTCTACCTGTCGGAGCTTCCCTCCTAGACCAGCTGCCAGTCAATGTTGGGGACCCGGGCTGCCCTGCCATATCATAAGGTTTTCAGGTTGCATTTCCTCTTATTAGGATAAGGCTAGTACCCTCCCCAGTGTGCTCCTCCGCCAAAAGCCATTGGCACAGTGTGGGATGTCAGGTTGGTAATTGCTGTCCAACCTTCAGCGTTAACAGAAAACAGGTAGTACTGACTACCGTTATACTGTAGCTCAGTCATGTTTGACCAAGACCTGATTTGAGACAGCTTTTTTGCAGTCATTAGCAAATAAGGACCCGTTTCATGCTAGACTCAAAGTTGAATGGACCACTTGGCACTCAATGAGTAATGTAGTCGACATCATGCCAGTAACTTTTACTTCCCAGGACTTAACCTGGAACCCATTTTAGGCTGGGTTGACCTGGGAGCCAAGGTCATTTTTTAAACTAATCTAACTGGATGCAGATTCAGAATCACTAGCAAATGCTGACAGTTTTCAGGGCAGAGGGATCAAATCCACTTGCCAGGATGCCATATGGTTTCTGGCCAGATTTTTATTTTATCTGTGATAAGCGAAAAATTCTAGGCTTTATCCAGGAATAAAAACAACATTTGCTATAATGTTTGAGACGGGAATCTGAATTCCCATCTACATAATTCGCATCGTTTGTGTAAATTGGGTCATTTTTGTACGCACATTGTCATTTTCAAGATCATGGTAAGTAAATAAAAATGATTACACATATATTCAGTTGTCATGTCATGTGGTATCACACAGTTAAGTGTCTCTCATTGTCATGTCTTGTGGTGTCACACAGTTTAGTGTCACTCATTGTCATGCCATGTGGTGTCACACAGTTTAGTGTAAGCTTCATCTCTTTTAATTGTGCTCCAAGTTTCAGTGCCATATAGAACGACTGGTCTTATCAACGTTTTATATATTTTGCTTTCAGATAATCATAATCATCATCGTCATGTGCCCTGCCAACTGGCATAGGCACTCATGCGTCTCCACAGATCACGATCCCTGGTTGACTGGAATAGCTCTCTTAATGATATCCCTCCATGCCATCGTTTTAGCCCATCCAGCATCTTCTCTCTTGGTCTGCCTCTACCCCTTTTTCCACTGATCTTTTCAGATAATGAATACTGTTAATCTAAGCATATAGTAAAGTTACCATTTCCTTCATGACATTATTTCTTTGAGATGACATGACAGACTCTCCTTTAGCCACATCTAGTTCCTTATAAAAATCTGCTTTCTCAAGAATTGCAGCAATGGTGGACTTGGACAAGTTATGTTGCTTGCACAGATCAATTTGCCTGACTCCCTTCTCATATTTTGCCACAGTCACTTCATTTCTGTTATGATTTTCTTTTTTCTCAACTTTCTTCATCATCATGATCATGTAGCAGGTCCTTTGCAGAACTTCACTCTTATAACTGTCTGCCTGAAAGAAACTCAGTCTCTCGCCGGCTCTCCCACCTCATGTACGTTCATATTCAAGGAGTCACTTGAATCATGTGCCTATCTTCATTTTGGTCGGCCCCTGCCCCTTCTTCCTGGTACCATGCCTTCTGTTATTATTTTTTCTTCTTTCTTACTTTTAAACAATACATGATCTGTAAATAATAATTTGAATTGTTTGTCCATAACACCCTGTGCAAGTATGTAAACTAATTTGAACGTTTGATAACATAAATAAAGAAATAGTACACACACACAAAATATATGCATGCGGCATGCGTTGCACACCCCACTGATTGTGTCGTATTCCAGATAAATGCAACATAGTAACAGTAAGCACACATATATGTGCAGTGCATCAGGTTCGTATCTGGAATCTAGATTCTTATGAAGAGGTCAAAATAGAATATGAAAAAGTTTGTTTGTAGAGCGGTTCATAAGTCGAGTTACTACTGTATTAGTTTCAGCACTTAACTCAACTGTACATTGTTGACTACTTGTTTCCAGTGTCAAAAGCTACAGCAGTGAACAACGGGACCAGCGAGAAACAAGCGGTATCCAGAAATATGACAGACGGGGAGATCCAGACCGATATATTCAGGACAAGCACTCAGGCCGAACTAACCCTCCTAGCAGTCAGCAAGACAGAGATGATCGTTACCATTATGATCGACCTTCAAGTCGAACAGACCGGTATTCGAAGGATGAAGACTATCGGCGACACCATGGTTATCACAAAGACTACAAAGATGACTCATTGGATGAGCGATATGATCGGCCCCGATCCCGTCAAGGTTTGTCCAAATATATTTGTTTAACATATTTTCTGTAGAAAAGCTTCTCCTTTTGTTTAAAGCTAGATGGTATTTCGTTCAACCCTGTTTGATTATATTTGGGATATGTGATGTCTGTTATTTCATATATTTGTAACAACAGGCACCTGTAAGAGTAGCTGGTGAAACATCAAATAGGTTTAAGGTTCCATAGGGATTAAGACAAGGTTGCATTCATTCTCTATGTCTTTCCAACATCTATGCAAAAAGGGTGATGAGAAATTAAAGAACCTTTTACCTGCTTTCAGGCATATTGGGCTTATAGGGCTAGACCTATACTTGGTAGAACAGTCAGCACTCAGTGTGTAATGTCATCAGCATTGCCCCGGTGTGACGGGGGTAGGCTTGAGCTACAGTGTGACGTGCTGTAAAGGCTGCGTGGTGATGTGCAGCGTACCAAAGTGACTAGGGGCGTCGCAATGTAACAAATGGCATCAACACTTAACATGCCACTGGCCAAGAGTAATACAACATGATGAATGCTGAAGCTTCCAAACGTAGCGGAACGAGAACTCTCTTTAAAGTTCCATTTGTGTATTGACAAATGGCAATGATCACAAGGATAAAATATGCAATTAATAATCAAGCACATCAACAAAAGCCCGCTCGTACATCCATGGACTGATATGTCCTCACGATAGGTCGCAGTCCGACCTTGAGATCCAGACAGTAATCTTTGTCTTCGGTTCCGCAGTCTGAATTAAGTAATGAAAGTATACCGGCTTACTGCCGAACTGTGACAATATACCAGCTTTCTGCTGAGGTCTACAGTGGAGTCCCGGGGTAAAACGTCCTTAAGGATCCAACTGTATACAACGTCTGCTTCCGTGGAATTCCGGGGTGAATCGTCCTCAAGGATCCACACGTCCGTCTTCTTCGGACTGTAAACATCAACTGCCTTTGACAACAATACCTTCACAACGTTACGTATTGTTTTGACGTCTTATTTGCTCACTCAGTACTGGTGCTTTCTAGTGCACATTCGCACGCGACACCCGGCCACCTTTACTTTCCAGAAATTTATCTGATACCCATTTAAGGCTTCATTGACCTGGGATTATAGTCCTTTTTGAAGAAAAAAAAACAGTCCGGCTCCATTTGGATTTGAACCGACCTTTGAATCTGCAGGCAAAGAACTAGCTGCTACACCACAGTAGCTATAACAAAGAGAAGCATAACTAAACATAAACACTGATGAGACCTTTGACAGGCTTGATCCACTCACTAAACATAAACAATGATGAGACCTTTGACAGGCTTGATCCACTCACTAAACATAAACAGTGATGAGACATTTGACAGGCTTGATCCACTCACTAAACATAAACAGTGAGGAGACCTTTGACAGGCTTGATCCACTTACTAAACATAAACAAAGATGAGACCTTTGACAGGCTTGATCCACTCACTAAACATAAACAGTGATGAGACCTTTGACAGGCTTGATCCACTCACTAAACATAAACAGTGATGAGACCTTTGACAGGCTTGATCCACTCACTAAACATAAACACTGATGAGACCTTTGACAGGCTTGATCCACTCACTAAACATAAACAATGATGAGACCTTTGACAGGCTTGATCCACTCACTAAACATAAACAATGATGAGACCTTTGACAGGCTTGATCCACTCACTAAACATAAACAATGATGAGACCTTTGACAGGCTTGATCCACTCACTAAACATAAACAATGATGAGACCTTTGACAGGCTTGATCCACTCACTAAACATAAACAATGATGAGACCTTTGACAGGCTTGATCCACTCACTAAACATAAACAATGATGAGACCTTTGACAGGCTTGATCCACTCACTAAACATAAACAGTGATGAGACCTTTGACAGGCTTGATCCACTCATGGCTGGCATAGACCTAAAAATTCATTAAGTCTGGAGGTGTTGAGAATTAGAAGAATAGTCATATTTCATGGAAATAAAATCAGTCAAATACAGAAGATCTGGAGAGATGGACTAAAAAGAGAGTTGCTGACAGAAATTGCAAAAAAAAAAAAAAAAAAAAACCAAGTGCAATAATTTGGCCACGTTAGAGTATGTTTAAAAAAAACAAACTTTTTCTACTTCTTCGTTCACCGGCTGTGTATTCCGGCGGAAAGTCCCGGTAGTTCGTCCATTTGGACTTTTTTTTGGCCTTTACCTGGACCTGAGTTTTGCGTGTACATCCGTTTTACTGGCCTATTTGTTTGCTGTTCCCTGCCTCACTGGCAGATGTAATCGGACTTCAAGGGATTAAAAAACAAACTAAAAACAGTTACTTATCCTTTAGAGTACTTTGCAGAACCAACCCCAGCATTTTGTTGGCTGTTTGTGTTTTCACTAGACAGTGGTACGTTCACTAGTTTGCCATTGCTCTCTAAATGGTTGGTTCTCGATACCTGTATGGAAGCCAATGCAAGACGATCTGCTGCCAAATTGCCTGCAGCTGGAATCAAATGTAGCACCTCAGAATATTAAGCTCATAGTAAGCTCGAGCTAACCTGGCCTCTGGAGTTTCCACGGGTTTATGACCCATGTTTTCACCCATTTACTGTGAGAAAGGGTTAACATTTTGTCGACTTCCTATGTATACACCTGTAGAATTGGTGATTTGTTTTTTGTGTATGTTTTTTTGGGAAGGGAACCTTATTATTTATAATTTGTTCTTTATAGATGAGTCCTTTGGTAGTAGGCCATCTTCAAGGTCAGGTCAGGAGGCTGCCGTGCCAAGGTCAAGGGTGAACTATGACCATGACAAAGGTTATCATGACCAGAGCAAATACAAGGGTCTGTTTTTATTTTTTTTTTATTATAAGTTAGATGTTCTTTGTGGTCAGTTCTTCTTTGTTGTAAATTTTTCTGTGTTGTCGGTTATGCTTTGTTGTAAGATTTTTGTCGTCAGTTAATTTGTTCTCAGTTGTTCTTCGTTGGTAATTCTTTATTGTCACTTGTTTTTTATTGTCAGTTAAATTGCTTTAATGTGGGAGGCAAGAAACTGAATTCCTCTTCTTCTTCCTCGCGTTCACTGGCTGTACACTCCAGCGGAAAGTTCTGGTTGTTTGTCCACCTCTGGACTTTGGTCTTGTTCCAGAACCGGAGTATTGCATGCACACCCGTTTATCAGATCTGACTAAATTGTATATTCAAATTGTTGATTCCTCTTAACTGAATGCAGATTGTTGGTTCCTTGCTACTCAGGTAGATGCACTCCAACTTCAAAGGAATCTTCCAATTAGTCAACTCTTACGACATGCTTGTTGGAGAGGCAGTGGGTCTATTCTTGTTTTCTCCACAGTGGGGCGTTGGAACCCACACGGAGAGAGAGAGAATCTAATATTCAAAGATATACCTCTCATCATTTGTATAAATTATTTCCTTTTTGTGTGCACATTTTCATTGTCAAAATCATGGTAAGCAGAAAGGAGATTAAATGTAAAATATATTTGTTATGTGACCTGGTTTCATACAGTTAATGTCACTCATTGTCATTCCATACAGTCTAGTATTTGTGTGTATGTATTAACTAAATATAGCATTTAGAAAGGGTTTCCTTGTGAATCCAATGGCTTTTTTTTAGAGCCAGGTTGACTTAAAATTCTCCCTTAAGCCTCAGTGATAGAGAGGTCACATTATGAGTCACTGATACATATTTGTTTTAGTAAAGTAAGTAAAGGATGTATTTCCACGCCTTTCTGGTGTATTGGCTATATCGGGCTAGACCTAAATTTTATAGACCAACTAGCTGTACCCGGCCACGCGTTTCTGTGGCATAGTTTGGCTAAATTGAAAAGAAAGAAAATAGAAATCTTGCTTCGTACATCGAAGTAGTTGGAAAAATTACCCAAGTGAAAAGCAATGAAAACAGGAAAAATACACAATAATTACGAAATGAATGCTATGGTAAACTATACCCAGCGCGCGTTGCTACGCCTCTAATAGAAATTCAATTGAAAGGAAAGTCAATATAACAATATGTAGTATTTATATTGAATCATTGTGCTGTTTACATATACTTAGGAAAAAACAGGCAATTTAAAATGTCATTGTAATTGTTCTTAGTTTTTCCGCCTGGTGCGTACACGAATAAATCATAAGGTTTTCCGACGCATGAACAGGCCACATATAGCTGTCCATGTAAAAGCCTGGATGTTCCAAATGTAGTCCACGCACTTGTTCTGATTGTCCCTGTGATTTGTTGATGGTCTTGCAAAGGCGAGTCGCACCGGAAACTGCAAGCATCTGAATTTGAATGGCATGTCTGTCGGAATTGCGTTGCAATAGTATATCCTGGCCCTTAAATGTTCATGTAAAATTGTACTTACGATAATATTGGGCACCATCTTTTTCACTGAAAGCCTGGTACCCGTGCAAAGATGTGGCGGATTGATGTTTCTGAGAAGAATGACAGGCACGCTAACTTTCAAGGTTAAAACATGGGGTGGCATGCCTGGCAAATCAAGTGAATTCAAGAACTCAGTTGGGTAATTGACAACCTCGTCTTGAATCATTACAGTATCAATAGACTTGTATGTTGTTACTCCGCCTGGTAATTTGTCCTGAATGTTCGGATTCATGGCATACACATCCTTGTTGTTAGCTGCTATTATAGCACGTTCACTGAGCCACTGGTGATTTTTATAAGTCTATGTGATATTAGGGAAAACTTTGTGAATCAGTTCGTCTGTGATAGCTGTAAGTTTACAGAAGTCTGTTGGCAATGTGATACAACGTGTGGATTCATCGGTTGGCATTGTCCCATTCCCAATATCCAAGAACTGTTTTGCAAAACGTTCAGCGGTTGCATCATGTTGTAGTTGTAAACGCATATTGGTCTTCAAAGTCAATATATGTATGTGTCGCCATACAATTTCTGCAATGAAGAATTATATCACGCGAGTTAAAGTCTTCGCCAACCATAACAATTGCCACTTCATCAATTGTTGGTGCATTGTACTGTCTGTCGTGTTGGCTGACGAGTGTTTTGTCAGCTCTAAGTACAACTCTGTAGTCATCAGCTGGTATTTGTTGAAGAGCAGTTCTGAACAATCTAATTAATTTGTTGTGTTGATCAAATAAAGTTTGTAAAGCAGCGACTATTTCTCGTTGTGTCCCCTTATTGAATCGACAACATTGATCAGTTTGTTGATTAGCGTATCCCATGAAATATGAAGAAATTGGTAATCTGCGTCGGGCAGTGGTAATAGTGAGCCAGCACGATGATAAATCTGGCCTTGCACTTTGAATGTTGGCATGTAATTCTCGCGCACAATATTTGTTGCACCGAATGATGTCATCTGGAAACATGAATTGTGAATGTTTGCCAAGAAATGTTTCGACTGGCCTTGTGTCACCTGCTACCAATGATGATAATGGTTCGGGTGGTGAATGTAATACTGGCAATTTAACTTTTCCACCCGCACAGCACATTCCCGGTGTTTCACTCTTAAATTTGAAGGCGCTGCAATGTACGCACAATTTATCTATTTTGCCAATAAGCACCTGTGGATGAAGACTGTAATCATAATTGCTGTTATAATGGAATGCACCCAGATTCAAATCAACATGCGGGTTCGCCTGGATAAAGTAGTGCGCATTCGAACAGTGTCAACAGTGTCCAGTCTTGCTTTCCGTTAAGCGATTGTTTCTCATAAACGAACTTGAGCAGTGCGTACTCTATTGGTTTCCAGTCTTGCTTCTCATTGCTCGTCTGACTGAGATGATCTAGCTTCAGCAGTGCCCACTCGAACGTTTTCTAGTCTTGCTCTCCGTTGCTGGTCTGATTAAGACGAATGGGCATCAGCAGTGCGCACTCGAATGGTTTCCAGTCTTACCTCATGTTGCCCGTCTGTTTCTGAAGCAATTAATGCCCTTCTCTTGCATGTTTTAGGTGTAGATGGGCCAATTGCTTGTCGTTTGGGAGGCATAACTACAAATTTTGACAAAATGGTGAACAGCGTGTGAATTTAATGAGCATTGATCGTCAATAGCTTGTTCGTCTTCACGCACTGAATGAAATGTGACTTGAAGTATCGCTGAAATAAATGAAAATATGAGCATGAGATAACAATCTATTTTGACTCAAGAGGAAATGCATAGAAACTGTGCAGTAAATATAAAGAAAAGTCGGTAAACTATATGAATAGGTTTTCAGTGTAGCAGTAAGATTTGTGGTATATATGTCTTGCGACTGTGTAAATGTATATAATTCTCTTGAATAGGAGAAAGCCAACCAAAACTATTAAGAATAATAATAGTAACACGCTAGACAATAAGAGAAAGCCAACAGATAATGTGTATACATTTATCATTGTGGGATTTAAGGAGTGGCCCATACATGTTTTTGAATTAAAAAAAAAAAATTTACATAATGACTTATGTCACTGAAATAAATGCGCTCACCTTTTGAGATATTTCTAGATTCTAACACTGACCTGACACAGAATGTCATGTTAATTTATATAATTCTTTTGAATAACAGAAGAAAGCCAACCGAAACTGTGTAGACATTTAAACTGTAGCAGTTCTGTATAATATGAATAAAATAATAATAGTAACAATATAAATCACAATACACGCTAAACAGTATGAGTATGAGAAAGCCAACAGATAATCATAATTATACATTTATCATTGCGGGATTTAACTCTTTGAGTCCCAGGGGGTTTAACATCACAGGCCCGAGGGGTAGTCAAGAGAGTTGTAAAATCTGTGCATCTTGCGTTCATTGGGCTTCTAGATAGGAATCTATGAACGTATGATGCGTTCCTTGGGACTCAAAGAGTTAAGGAGTTGTTCACGCATGTTTTAAGTTAACAAAAAACATGTACAAACTGACTAATGTTACTGAAATAAATGCTCTTACCTTTTTAGATATTTATAGATTCCAACACAACTAAAAACAGCAGGCAATTGTTTTCCTTGTAATGTCTTAAATGGGCGGATGTTGAAAATGGTGCGTCTCTACTGCACATGCACTGTGAAAGTCGATCGCGCATGCGCATTTACTAACGTGGCTATAAATAAATGTCACTAAAATTTAAATATTAGTTTCGAAGATTTTTCCAACAAATATCGTACACTATCTCTAACAATGACAGGTAGAATTTCAAACCATGATGGGTAAACTTCCGGTATCAAAACAAACATATCCTGAAAATTTCAGCTAAATCGGTTCAGTAGTTTCCGAGTCTATAGCTCATAAACAAAAACACAAACTTTGATTTTTATATATATAGACAGCACAAGATGGGTGACGTGGTCAGCATCTCGCCGGCTGCCTTTACTTTTCAGGATTGCACCCGGTACCCACTCAAGGCTGGGTCGACTTGGGAGCCAAAGTCATTTTTTTTAAAAAGTCAATCTACACCATGGAGCGAACCCACGACCTTCTGATCCGCAGGCGAGCGTCTAGCCGCTCTGCCACGGCGACTCCCACATATTTGTTTTAGGCCTTGGGAAATGCACGCCAGTTAATGTTCTTATTATTACTCATTTTATATATAAGGGGTTTTCAATAAGTAATTTAGTAGTATAGTCAACATCATACTAGCCACCTTTACTTCCCAGGACCTGACCTGGAACCCATTTTAGGCTGGGTAGGAAACTGTAGTTGGTGGTTTCTAAAGGTGTCATTAGGTGACAGCAACATCCAACTTTATGTCTCCTTTGGTTAAGAGGCACTAGGTGTTCCGTGCACATTCGCAGCACAGAAACAAAATGGTGATGTACTTACGGATTGTACCCTCAAAGAGCAACATACTGTTATGCGTCTACAAAGGACATTTATGAGGAAAGGCTTTCTGTTTATGCTAACAGATGTTTATTGCATAGCTGGGTAACAAATTGTTCTCAAGAACGCTCTAAAATTGATTACCTTATGGTGAGGCCCTGGTGTGTTTGTGAGTTGTGGGGAAATGTTTTGTCATTTAAAGTTTGCCTGATCAACTTATGGTGAGGTGCTTGGTGTGGTTAAGGAAATGTTTTATTATATAAGTTTGTCTGTGAAAGGTGTGGTAAAGTGAGTTGCCTGGTGTAGGAAATGTTTGTTGTATAAAGTGTATTTGTTCAAGGTGTGATAAGATCTCTTGTATAAAGTGAGAAACTAACAACCCTTTCTGAAGATGTGTGGTTGTAAATTCATGACAGGCCATGGATATGACAGTTACAGCAGAAACCTGGACTACTACAATGAGGAAAGGGAGCGGTACTACAGGTATAGCAAGGAGAAGGAGGCCAGGTTAGCTCGAGCTTACTACGAGGAATACTACGGATCTAAGTATGTAACGTTTGTTTCATAGTATTTGAGCATTTAACTGTGATGTGGTATCCCTTTTATTTTGCAACTGTGGGGTGCAATTGTATTTAAATGGTTTTGTGGTTAACCCCTCCCTCCCCTTCCCCAACGCCCTCCCCTTTTTATTTTTTCAATGGCTGTTGGGAGTCAAGGAAGACTGGCTAATACATAGCATTTTGTCATGAAAACGGTGTCTATGGTAAATCCATTAGCCTCACACCTCCCACACCTCACTCTATGAAGGTGTCAGTTTCTGTTTTGTTTTTGTTTTTGGACTGCATTGTGCTGTTCTCAGGTGCAGTTTTTTTGGGGGGAGGTCATCACTTGAAAAGTGGAGTATGTGCTTGTGTTATGCTTTTGCCAGGCACCCATTTGCACTGAAGAGAAAGACTATTTAGATGAGATTAAACTTTGAACAGTGAAGAAAATTATCCAACCTTTAGTCAGATTTTCTTGGCTGTGCTCCTGTTTCAATGATCTGCCCATGATATTTGTTGCCATTTAATAAGAAACAGTATCTCCGTGGCTATGATTCCTGGATAGTTAACGAACAAGCCAAACAATTTCTTGAGGCCTCAGAGATGTGGTTTCACAGAAGAATCGCTAGAATTCCTTGGAAGGCCAAAACAAGAGCAACCTAGATTTGTTGAAAGAGGTGAGGGCTCAAAGACAACTTATCACAGATGTCACAAAAAGACATAATTTTTTGGTCATTTAATAGGAGGAAGGAAACCAGAACATTTTGTGACCACAGGAAAGATTTGTGGAAAGAGAGACAGAGGCAGACAGCGTGCGAAGATTCATGACAGCCTTTTGTCATGGCATGGAGGGTGTCAGCAAATGAACTGATACATTCTGGTAAAGATTGCAGATTGTGGAAATGCACTTGATGATTATCTGTGTGGTAGAATTTAAGACATCTACCTGCTGCCTTGGCTATGCTGCGTTTAGATCTCCAGTGAAATCCTGCAGAAAGTGTGGTTTCAAGGCTGAATCTGCATTGTTGTTGTACCCTAGCCCTTTTTTTTAAAATTCCTCTTCTTTTTCACATTCACCGGTTGTAAACTCCGATAGAAAGTTGCGGTTGTTCATCCACTTCTGGACTTTAGTCCTGTTCCAAAACTTGAATTTGTGTGTCTGTTTTACAGATCTGGCTTAGTTTTATGCAGACTGTTGGTTCATTGCCTGTCAGGCAGATGCCCTCCAACTTTAAAGGAAACAACGCCAAGTAGTCAACTCTTATGACAGGTTTAGGTTTAGACAACGGATCAACTTTATAAGTGCTCTATTCTACTTCTGTCTCAAGCCTGGGTCTGAAGAATCTCAGCGCAATGCACGATCCCCATTGCACCAGCGAGGATCCTGAAATACTTTGGGTAGATTTTCAACTCCAAATTCTGCCCGGGAAACGCCGTTAGGCTACTCTTTTAAATTTTCAACTGCCAAGGAATTTTTTTTACGTGCGCAACAATGCACACGGGCGTCTGACCTTACTACCCAGAGACCTAGGCAAATTGCTAGTCCACATGAAAAAATCTCAGCCTTTACTATGGTTTGATCCCGGGACCTCCAGCACTCGAGATCCTGGGTTCAAACCACAGTGAAGGCTGGGATTCTTTCACGTGGACTTCTAATAATTTCCCCTGGTCTCTGGGTAGTAAGGTCGGACGCCGGTGTGCATTGATGAGCACGTAAAAAATCCCTTGGCAGTTGGAAATCGAAAAGAGTAGCCTAAGGGTGTTTCCCGGACAGAATTTGGAGTTAAAAATCTACCCAAAGTATTTCAGTATCCTCGTCGGTGCAATGGGGTTCAGGCACTGCTTTGAGATACTTCAGACTCAGGCTTGAGTTAGAAATAGTAGTGAGCACTTATGAGTTACACCCGTGTGCAGTGATGTTGATCCGTTGAATAGACATAAACAAACACCAACCATCCTTAGTTGCCTCTTATGACATGCATGGTAGGCTGCATGATTACTATTCTTTGCTTCCCTCATGGGCCGTGGTAACACATGCATATCCTAGCTTTAATAGCTTGCATAAGTTATGCTATTAACCACTTTTGTTTCCTTTATGTTGTTTCTTGTTCTTCTGCCATCTATCCCTCGCTGGAGCATACATCTTCAGCAAACTCCCACCAAGTCGTCTTATTCTTTGCTGATGCATGTCCTCCACATCTTTTTAGTTTCACTCTCTAGTTCTCTTTTCCATGTTTAAAAAAAAAAAAGTGATATGCCTCTGTTGCTGTATCCCTGTCAGTTCCAGCTTAAAGACATTCTAGTTATATTGTTCTTAGGCTTTCTCAGCATGTGTCCTATCCAACACCATTGTCTTTTCTTCACCTCTTGATTCAGTGGAATTTCTTTAGTTCTCACAAATCTCCACATTTAGTTCCCTTTATCTATCGCAGGTATCAGTTAATAAATGTTTGTCGTTTATTAGTAATCATTTTCATTGTGTTCCCTCGTTTATAAGTAAACATTTTCATTGTTTTCCCATATTGTTTATTATTAATTTACTTTTTAGCATTCAGCTTTGCTTTTTTTGACTACTAACTGCACCAATTTGTGTAGGTATGCTGAATATTACAAACAGTTTGAACAGCATCATCACCACCAGCAGCAACTGCAGCAACAGCAAGTTCCTGGAGGTAGACTGAGCAGTCAAGATTTTGACCGATCCAGCAGTCATAGCCAGTCCAGAGGAAGTACGCCAGCCATAGGTCCCTCGCCTGGGTAAAGCTACAACTCAACTTAGTTTCAATTGTAAAAAATGAAATGGAGAAACCAACAAGTTTTACCATTGATGATTTTGGCATCTTGGCTACAACCAATTGGCACTTACCTAGGATTTTAAATTTATTGTACCCTTGTGGCTTCCCAGGCCCTGTGTAAAGAAAACAAGAATAGACCCACTGCCTCCCCAACAGCGTGTCATAGGAGTCGGCCAATTGGGGGCTTCCTCAGGAGTTGGAGTACATCTGCCCGAGTGGCAAGGAACAACCAGCTGTACTCAGAAAGCAAGTAAATTGGATGTACACGCAAAACTCAGACCCTGGAACAAAGCCAAAGTCCAAATTGGCGAACTACCAGGAACATCCGCTGGAGCTTAGAGCCGAAGAAGAAGAATATGTATTGTGTTCTAAATACTTTAAAGCTACCTACCCCTTATCTATGAATGGCAGAAACTTTGGGGTGTATTGTTCTTGAAGATTTAAGAGTTACCCCCTGCCCTATATCCAGATTTATGAATGCAAGATACCAGCTCTTTAATTAAATGAATAATTAATTATGGAAAGCAGCCGAATGGACCCGGAATTTTTCAGAAGTTTCCTAGCCTCTCAGTTCAACCCAGCTTTAAATTGGTTCCAGGTAAAGTTCTGGGAAGTAAATGCGGACAGCCTGTTGATCACATCACCGACCGAGCGCCGATTGATCAATAATTTATAGGTCTTGCACTATATGCCCAATAGGCTTGAAGGCATGGAAAAGGGTCTTTTACTTCTTTTATGGGGTGCAGAGATGCTGAACAACATGTGGTTGTGCACAACAGTGACGAGAGTTCAGATAGGTCAAGACCTATCTACAACACCCCTCCGCCTTCATCCTGAAAATCGATTCCTAAATGGAAGCTTGGCAAATTAGAAAGGAGCGACATTTCCTTTGAAGTCAAGAAGTGAGAGGTGAGGATACAAAAGTCTGCACACAAATAAGCCAGATATGAAAAATAGAAAAACTCTAGGCAAAATGAATAATGTCAGAAACCAAGAAGTGGACGATCAACCAGGACAATCTATCAGAGTTTACACCCATGAACGCAAAGAAGAGGAAGAAGAAGTGCGCTTTTGTTCATAATTGCATTGCTTGTTGCATTGTAATATCATTCGTTGTGTTTGATGCATGTTAAGCATGACTAACAATGTCATAATTTTGTGTTAACTATTTTGTGTTAACTGAGCTTAGTAACTAGATGACTGTGGCTAGGCAGTCTCCAAGGTTGCCTAAGTCAAATTCTGTGCAGTTGCTCCAGTGTATCTTTATATAAGAATAGTTCCCTTTTTTCATTTAGTTTGTGAAATATTGCAAGAGAAATAACTCCCAGTGAATGTTAACTTTTACTGATTGTGGCGTTAATTATAAGAAATATATAGAAACCTTGCACAGTTGACCTAGACATTGCAGTCCCAATGACATCTTCAGATTTCACCCCTCTACAGGTCACCATTTAGGAAGAGTTCTTGTGACAGAGAATTATACAGACACACAGATTTTTTTTTTGTTTTATAAGATAATAAGTTCTTCAGCAAAATTAAAAGGTATGGAGTCCATGGGAGACCCTAAAAATAATTAGGAGGGGTCAAAGGTTTAAGCTAATTGAGAACCATGAAATATTCCCAAAGACAGCCACCCTTCGTTGTGGAATGATTCCCCCCCCCCCCCCCCCCCCCCCCAGCATTTTTTACATTTTTAGCACAGTTGATACTAAGCAACCCTTTATGTGTTTCAGGCCTGAACAATATGGGGGTCATAACTCTCGTCCAGCCAGTAGAACTGATTACAGCCATGACTATTACAGCAAGGGGTATGCCTACGAAGGTCACAATGCCTACTATGATGGATATGGTTATGATCCTTATGCTTACGCCTATGGCTACCCAGGATACAGTCAGTACGAACAAGGTAGGAATACCAGTGTGTTGGAGGGGTATGTGAAAATGGATGAAGGGTTAAGAGTTGAATGTCATCCACTAGAATAGTGGTTCTCAACCTTCCTAATGCCACAACCCTTTAATACAGCTCCTCGTGTTGTGGTGACCCTTTAATACAGTTCCTCATGTTGTGGTGACCCTTTAATACAGTTCCTCGTGTTGTGGTGACCCTTTAATACAGTTCCTCATGTTGTGGCGATCCTTTAATACAGTTCCTCATGTTGTGGCGACCCTTTAATACAGTTCCTCATGTTGTGGTGACCCTTTAATACAGCTCCTCATGTTGTGGCAACCCTTTAATACAGTTCCTCATGTTGTGGTGACCCTTTAATACAGTTCCTCATGTTGTGGTGACCCTTTAATACAGCTCCTCATGTTGTGGCAACTCCAAACCATATAATTATTTTTGTCTCTATTTCATAACTTTGATGAATATTTGTTTTGTGATGGTGTTTGGTGACCCTTGTGAAAGGGTCGTTCAAACCCAAAAAAGGGTCGCGACTCATAGGTTGAGAACCGCTGCGCTAGAAGATACTTCAAGTTTGTGAAGGATATGACTTCACATACTGTTGTTTGTTTGCCTTTTATCTTTCAGTATTCCCTTGGGGGGGGGGGGGGTGGAGAGATCCACTGGCACCCTAAAATTATGTCGTTGAAGTCAAAGTGCGTCTGCATGAAAGGCGAGGAACCAACCGTCTGTAAAATAATGTGCACGCAAACCTAAGTATCCAGAAAGTTGTAAACCCTTTGTCTCGGTACTATAGATATAGCAACGTTTCGGCCTTGATTCCATTATAGGTACTGAAAATCTGGGAGAAATGTGGCTTTTCTGCCTACCCCCGGGAGTGAACCCGGACCACAATGAGTTCGTCATCCAGCCGCCGCAAAAGTCAGGTTCAACCAACTACGCTAGAGAGCCGGGCATATATCATCATCATCAGGTGCCTTGCCGACTGGCATGGGCGATCATGCCTCTCCATAATCTGCGATCTCCTGCAGCATGTATCAGTTCGTGTGCCGACACTCCTCCATGCCATGCAACAAGACTGTCAAGCATATTTTCTCGTTGTCTTCCTCTATCTCTCCTTCCACATATCTTTCCAGTGGTCACAACATGTTCTATTTTCCCTCTTCTCATAACATGGCCAAAAAATGATGACTGTCTCCTTCTGATGTCTGTGATAAGTTGTCTTCGGGCTCCCGCCTCTTTCAAAACCTCTTGGTTGCTCTTTTTGGCAGTCCAAGGAATTCTAAGCATTCTTCTGTAAAACCACATCTCCGAGACCTCCAGAAATTGTTTGGCCTGCCTACCGATTGTCCAGGATTCACAGCCATATGTTAAAACTGGATGTATGTAGCAAGCAAGAATTCTTTTTCTAACTCTCAATGACAAGGATATATTGCACACAATGTTTTATCATTTTATAAAATGCAGTTTTTGCCTGTCCTATTCTGTTTTTTATCTCAGTTATGCATCTTCCATCTGATGTTATCCATGTGCCCAGATACTTAAATTTCTGTACTTGTCCTAAAATAACACCATCAACTTTTATTACACACTTAAGAATAATTCGGGGAGTCGCCGTGGCAAAGCGGCTAGAAACGCGCCGCAGATCGGAAGGTCGTGGGTTCGCTCCCTGGCGGAGACAGACTTTTCTTAAAAAATGACCTTGGCTCCCAGGTCGACCCAGCCTTGAGTGGGTACCGGGTGCAATCCCGGGAATTAGAGGCGGCCGGCGTGATGCTGACCACATCACCCATCTTATGCCGTTGGTCTATAAAAATATAGGTCTAGCCCTATATGCCCTATACGCCTAAAGGCGTGGAAAGGGTCCTTTACTTTACTTAAGAATAATTCGTTTCTTTGATACCACCATTATTTCTGTCTTCCCATTATTCAAACTGAGGCGCATTATTCCACTTTCTAACACCACAATATCTATCATTTACTGTAGTTCTTTCTGGCTTATTCTTCTCATAATTATTCTCAGTAAAATCTTAGTCATGTGACTCATAAGACTTATTGTGCGATGGTCTTCACATTTTATAGTTCCTGGTTTCTTTGGCAGAGCTATAAATATGGATTTTAAAAGGTCATTTGGAATATACACACTATTATAAATATAATTTAAAAGTTTAGTTATTATTTCAATTCCAAAATCTCCCAGTGCTTCGATTTCTTCCAGTGAGATGTTGTCTGGCCCGGGAGCTTTTCCTTTCTTCATCTGATGTATTGCATCCTCAACTTCTGCAGTCATTATTTGTGGACCATCATTGTTGGTCTGCATTTCTACATTTGGTCTATTATCATCATACAATTCCCCTATATACTCTGCCCATCTGTTAATTATATTACTATATCCCATTAATAAGTCACCATCTTTTGATTTCAAACATCCAGTGCTGTTACGTGTCATCTTTCCTGTTAACATATTTATCTTTTGGTACATGGAATGTGAGTCTTTTCTGTTTTGTTTTCCCCAATCTCTGTACACATTTGATTCAGCCAGGCTTCTTTAGCCACTTTGCATTTGTTCACTATTTCTTTTTGTATTCTAGAGTATTCTTCTTTATCATTCTTTTTCTTCCTTCTTTCATCCATCAACTGCAGAATTTTGGTTGACATCCATATCTTTTTTGCAACTCTATGGGTTGGTGGGATTATCTCTTTAGATGTCTGCTGAATTGACTCACGCAACATATCCCACTGTTCATCAATAGTCTGTATAATTTCCATTGCATTTTACCAGTTTTGTACTGTGACATTGCACTGGTCCTTAATTTCTTTATCCTTTCTAAGAATTTCTTAATTTAACTTGATGTTCTGTGGTGTTTCATGGTGTTTCAAAAGGCATATATATATATATATAAAACGAAAATTTCCAAAATATAGATAAATAAATTTGGAAACAATTAGTAACTTACTTGTGTAAAATAATTTGGCTTTTCAAAAGGATTTTTAAAGAAAATTGACACCAGTTCATGGTAATTTTTTTTTTATTTCAAAGCAATCGCGAGCTGAAATGGTTAATATGAATAATGCTGTTACCTACAACTTAGCCCTACCATTTATGCTTTCTTCTTAGAGTACTATCAAGGTCGGATGACCCCACCAAAACACTCATACCCTCACGTACGGGCTTGCTTTGGCCCAAGTGGCCAGCTGGTCAAGGTACTGCCCAACCGCCCGAAAGATGGACAGCCTGCCTTAGTGGAGGTGCAGGACATACAGACAATCTTGGAGAACTGCCCTGAAGCAGAAGAGTTACGAATGTTTCCTGGCCCACTGGCTCGGTGAGTATTGTGTTTTATGGCCCATTGGCTCTGTAAGTTTTATGTTGTATGCTCTTGTTGTTTAGGATTACAAAGGAAGAAATTAAATGAGCATTGGAAAGGCAACGATTGCTTTTAAAAGCCTAAACAAAATATGTAACTCTAAATTATACAATTTCACAACCAGGTTACATATTTTCAGTTCTAATGTTTTTCAGTTTTAACATATGCCATCGAAATGAAATAAAATTGCATTAGGAAACAAATTCCTTAACATAACATAACCCTTGACCCATTACGGTCGTGGAGGTGTATTAATGGAAGCGCTAGCACATAAAACCCCCCATCTTTCTCTGTCTTCTGCTAGAAGAATAAGTGTATGATAACTTAGTCCTTCCATTTCTTGATGTTGTCATTCCACATTCTTCTTTGCCCTTCTCTTCTTCAACTACCTCCCAATGTTCCTTGAAGCACAGTCTTTGCAATCGAATCATGTCTCACCATGTTCCCAAACCATGCTATCTTGCAACGTTTCACCATTACCAAGAGAGGCTCCTGATGTCCCGCAAATTGCCTTAAGAGATTGCTGAACATTAAATAGAATGAATTCAAGAAAGTTGAATAAACAAGAGAGATGTCGGGACACGTGTTGGCATCAGCAGTTATAAGATAAAGAAGATGGCAGTCTACTGGGGACATAATGAGAAGTGGACAGAGAATCACCAGGCAGGCACTGAAATGGGAAACAAAGGGATTGAAGAAGAGCAGATGTCCAAGAGAAACCCTGAGACAAACATTGTTGAGAGGGGCTGGACTGATTTCATCCATGATATTGGGTAGTTAGCATCCTTAGGATATTTTCTTCAAGTTTATGCCGAGGTGTTGAGAAAATACAGGGAGAGAGACTAGCTAGTTCTACACCACTTAGTGGTGTGTTGAGAAAAGAACAAGGAAATAGACAGGCTAGTTTTGCACCACTTGGTGGTGTGCTGAGAAAAGAACAGACAGATGTACTGGCTAGTTCTGCACCACTTGATGTTGAATTGATGCACGACAAGCTAGATGTTGTAAGGGTCCTTAGTGGAGAGTGAACAATGCAGAGGTACAAATAGATCATCATGGTCTGAGGAGAATGGCGCTGTGGGGAGTGACCAGGGGATATGGCTGACATTTAACACTCAAGAGAAAGGTGAGCGGATTTACAGTCTGAGTTACTGATGCCATTGGAATTGGAACTCTTTGCTGACTACTGAAGATGGGGATGAAGCGATTATGTGGGAAGTGTCCTGAGTGCTGTGATGTTGATTCCTAATGCAGAGTGCTGTGATGTTGATTCCTAATGCAGAGTGCTGTGATTTTGATTCTTAATGCAGAGTGCTGTGATGTTGATTCTTAATTCAGAGTGCTGTGATGTTGATTCCTAATGCAGAGTGCTGTGATGTTGATTCCTAATGCAGAGTGCTGTGATGTTGATTCCTAATGCAGAGTGCTGTGATGTTGATTCCTAATTCAGAGTGCTGTGATGTTGATTCCTAATGCAGAGTGCTGTGATGTTGATTCCTAATGCAGAGTGCTGTGATGTTGATTCCTAATGCAGAGTGCTGTGATGTTGATTCCTAATGCAGAGTGCTGTGATGTTGATTCCTAATGCAGAGTGCTGTGATGTTGATTCTTAATTCAGAGTGCTGTGATGTTGATTTCTAATTCAGCGTTCAACATGATATCGAAGAGATTGCACAAGAGGGAACAGAATGGAGGACAAGACTCTGAGCTCTTTCTTATAGTTGTATTTGTTCTAAGAACAAACAGATTTTCTTCCTTGCTTTGATTGTGAACGACCTCCTTCCCCAGTAACTCCACACACAAGAAGGATGTGCTGCTGTTCTGTCAGGAGAAAGCCCGGGCTTGTGCTGAAAACATCAACCTGGTGGACAGGGAGTCTGCCCAGTTGATTTGGAAATTCTTGGAGCTACTGATTAAACAGAATGGGGTCAGTAGTCTTTGTTTTGTTTATAGTTAGTTAATATTTTTAGTTTATGCCATGTCGTGTTGGTAGTCATCTCTGTCAACCACCTTCTGTCTTGTGTACTTTTAATCCTTAGTAAGTAGTTGATTTAGTAGTTAATTGTTAGTAAGTAGTTAATTTAGTAGTTAATCGTTATTAAGGAATTGATTTAGTAGTTAATTGTTAGTAAGTAGTTGATTTAGTAGTTAATCGTTATTAAGGAATTGATTTAGTAGTTAATTGTTAGTAAGGAGTTGATTTAGTAGTTAATTGTTAGTAAGTAGTTGATTTAGTAGTTAATCGTTATTAAGGAATTGATTTAGTAGTTAATTGTTAGTAAGGAGTTGATTTAGTAGTTAATTGTTAGTAAGTAGTTGATTTAGTAGTTAATTGTTAGTAAGTAGTTGATTTAGTAGTTAATCGTTATTAAGGAATTGATTTAGTAGTTAATTGTTAGTAAGGAGTTGATTTAGTAGTTAATCGTTAGTAAGTAGTTGATTTAGTAGTTAATCGTTATTAAGGAATTGATTTAGTAGTTAATCGTTATTAAGGAATTGATTTAGTAGTTAATTGTTAGTAAGTAGTTGATATGGTAATTAATCGTTAGTAAGGAGGTGGTATAGTAGTTAATCATCAGTAAGTAGTTGATTTAGTAGTTAATCGTTAGAAAGGAATTGATTTAGTAGTTCATCGTTAGTAAGTAGATTTGGCTTGTTAGACTTGGTCAAGGCCCTTAGGGAGCAAGTGAACAGTGAGGAAGAACAAACAAATCATTATGGTCTAAAGTGTTGTGTGGAGTGAACAGGGGACTTGTTGATGCTCAGCACTCAGAGGAAAGGCAAGACATACATGCAGACAGACTGCTGCTGTTACTATGGGAATTGGAACTCTGCATTAGCTGCTGAAGATGGGAACGTAGCACTTATAGCAATGTCCTGAGTGCTGTGTTGTCAGTTCATAACTCGACTAGCTTCAGAATATGTAATAGTTTTCTTTTGTTCAACTGTTTTTGCATGCTCGGTTTAAGTACATTTGTATAATTCTATCCAAAAATATAATTCATTCTGTCCGCTGTCATACAGTCTGCTGTAGGCACCGATTTGTCTGACCTGCTACTTGAAGGTCATGATCCCTCGACCCATGAGTACGGTTTGCATGGTGTGAGGCTATCCCAGAGTCCCCATATGCTGGACACAGTCCCAGAAGGCAACAGTGAAGATGGCAGCAGTGCTAGAGAATCTCCAGCTGTCCGAGTCACATCAGATAGAACAGCTATTAACACCACTGATGGAGAGAAAGAAAACTGGGTCGACAGGTTCCGACATCTGCTCCTCTATGGACGCAAGAAGGTGAGCCAAATATTTTAGGTATCTATGCCATGTGTGCTTCATGGAATGAATGAACAAAATTTATTTTTGAAGATCACAAATTGGATAGTCAGACCCATCTATTATTCGGCCATTCCAAACACTCTTTAAAACTGCATTGTATTTTATCTATAAAAGTGTAATGTTCATATAAAAATAGACATACTATGAGTATTGAGTAAAATACACCAGGAAAAAACACTGATGGTAAATGCATATATTTTAATATACATACATACCATAATCGCACACATGCATACATGCGTACAAGCTTACATACAGGCTCATACATGCATATGCAGATGCAAACATACACCTCAGATGCACACAAAAATACATTATATGCACACACACACACTACACATACTTATACATATATGCAATCATACATATACACACACAAGAAGTGGTAAATCCACGGCCCTAAGAAGTGGTAAATCCACAGCCCTAAGAAATGGTAAATCCACAGCCCTAAGAAGTGGTAAATCCACAGCCCTAAGAAGTGGTAAATCCACAGCCTTAAGAAGTGGTAAATCCACAGCCTTAAGAAGTGGTAAATCCACAGCCTTAAGAAGTGGTAAATCCACATCCCTAAGAAGTGGTAAATCCACATCCCTAAGAAGTGTTGAACCCAAAGTAGCCACATCAGTTTTCTGTTATGCCATGTATCCCAGTGGATAAACTAACCTTGGCTTCCCGGTCGACCCTGCCTAAAATGGGTACCGGATAGAGTCCTGGGCAGTAAAGGCGGTCAACCTGGTGGTGACCTCATCACCCTTCAAGTACCGATTGGTCTACAACAGTATGAGTAACATCCTATGCTTGTCACATCATTGGTGTGAAAAGGGTCCTTTACTTTAGTTATGACCTCTTCTTCTTCTTTTTGACACTCTTCTTCTGCCTTTCTAACCCCAAGTGGAGCATATGTCCTCAACCAACTCACAAAAATTAAAATCTATCCTTCGCTATCGCATGCAGCTCTCCTCATGTCCTCCCCATCTTTTTAACTTCACTCTCCAGCTCCCTTCTCCATGGTTTTTCTTCTTTTTGGGTCTCCCTTTATTTCTGTGCCCCTTTAGGTTCCAGTGCAAAGACTTTCTAGTTATATTGTTCTCGGGTTTTTTCCCACTTGAGTCCTATCCTATGCCAGCGTCTTATCTTCACCTTTTGGTCCACTGGAACTTGTTTAGTTCTCTCCCAAAACTCTCCCATCTGTAAATTTTTGCTGAAATTTCTAGTTATTTTGTCTACGTGTGTACTTTGGTTTTTATTCTAGAACTTGAGTTTTAAATGCACATCCATCTTACAGATCTGGCTTATTTGTATGCAGACTGTTGGTTCCTCACCTATCAGGCAGAGGCTGAAGAACTCCCCGCCCCCAGTTAGTCGCCCAGAAACCCACATGGGCTACATATTACTGTGTGCCCAGAAAGCTTCAAGACATAGAGATAGATCCTTCATTGAAGCTACTGACTTTCTTGTGCCCCTCAGGATGCTCTAGAATGTGCCATGAAGAACAACTTGTGGGGACACGCTTTGTTCCTGGCCAGCAAGCTGGACGCAAGAACTCATGCTAACGTCTTGACCAGGTATTTCCAGCATCTCACCTCTGTATTGTATTTAGTGCTCCTATAAAGTATTTAGTACTCTTATCTAGCATTATAGTGCTCCTGTATAGTATTTAGTGCTCTTATATAGTATTTAGTGCTCCTATAAAGTATTTAGTACTCTTATCTAGCATTATAGTGCTCCTGTATAGTATTTAGTGCTCTTATATAGTATTTAGTGCTCCTATAAAGTATTTAGTACTATTATCTAGCATTATAGTGCTCCTGTATAGTATTTAGTGCTCTTATATAGTATTTAGTGCTCCTATAAAGTATTTAGTGCTCTTATCTAGCATTATAGTGCTCCTGTATAGTATTTAGTGCTCTTATATAGTATTTAGTGCGCCTATAAAGTATTTAGTACTCTTATCTATCATTATAGTGCTCCTGTATAGTATTTAGTGCTCTTATATAGTATTTAGTGCTCCTATAAAGTATTTAGTATTCTTATCTATCATTATAGTGCTCCTGTATAGTATTTAGTGCTCTTATATAGTATTTAGTGCTCCAATAAAGTATTTAGTACTCTTATCTAGCATTATAGTGCTCCTAAATAGTATTTAGTGCTCTTATATAGTATTTAGTGCTCCTATCAAGTATTTAGTACCCTTATCTAGCATTATAGTGCTCCTGTATAGTATTTAGTGCTCTTATATAGTATTTAGTGCGCCTATAAAGTATTTAGTACTCTTATCTATCATTATAGTGCTCCTGTATAGTATTTAGTGCTCTTATATAGTATTTAGTGCGCCTATAAAGTATTTAGTACTCTTATCTAGCATTATAGTGCTCCGGTATAGTATTTAGTGCTCTTATATAGTATTTAGTGCTCTTATATAGTATTTGGTGCTCTTATATAGTATTTAGTGCTCTTATATAGTATTTAGTGCGCCTATAAAGTATTTAGTACTCTTATCTAGCATTATAGTGCTCCTATATAGTATTTAGTGCTCTTATATAGTATTTAGTGCTCCTATAAAGTATTTAGTACTCTTGTCTAGCATTATAGTGCTCCTATTTAGCATGCATGCATGTATGTATGTATGTATGTATGTATGTATGTATGTATGTATGTATGTATGTATGTATGTATGTATGTATGTATGTATGTATGTATGTATGTATGTATGTATGTATGTATGTATGTATGTATGTATGTATGTATGTATGTATGTATGTATGTATGTATGTATGTATGTATGTATGTATGTATGTATGTATGTATGTATGTATGTATGTATGTATGTATGTATGTATGTATGTATGTATGTGTGTGTGTGTATGTATGTATTATGTGAGTTTGTATGTATGTATGCATGTATGTATGTATGTATGTATGTATGTATGTATGTGTGCATGTTCGTATGTATGTGGATGTATGTGTGTACTTAGTGCCTATATGTTTGTGTGTAAGTGAGTCATTGGGCTTGTGTGTGTATGTGGTTTTGTGTGTTCGCGCGTGAGCGTGCGTACATATTTTACCAGCCATGCTTTTGTTTTTGACTTCATATATATAATATGCATATTATTACATGAATATAACATGCTTCATTGATGAAATACAACTGCTGTGTGAAAGATGGAAGTTTGGAAGGGCCGAATGTAAGACAGGCCTGCGTGCCTAATTTGTAACCCTTTGAAAATAAAGTTCATTCATTCGTTCGTTCGTTCTTCTTCTTCTTCTTCTTTTTTGTCTTCTTCTTTTTCGTTGTCTTCTTCTTTTTTATCTTCTTCTTTTTTTTTTCTTTATCTTCTTCTTCTTCCTCTTCTTTTTCGTCTTCTGCTTCTTCTTTTTCGTCTTATTCTTTCTTCATTGTGTTCACCGGCTGTAAACTCCAGCAGAAAGTTCTGGTTGTCCTGGACTCCAGTCCTGTTCCAAAACTTCAGTGTTGCACAGTCCTGTTCCAAAACTTCAGTGTTGCATAGTCCTGTTCCAAAACTTTAGTGTTGCATAGTCCTGTTCCAAAACTTTAGTGTTGCACAGTCCTGTTCCAAAACTTTAGTGTTGCATAGTCCTGTTCCAAAACTTTAGTGTTGCATAGTCTTGTTCCAAAACTTTAGTGTTGCATAGTCCTGTTCCAAAACTTTAGTATTGCATAGTCTTGTTCAAAAACTTTAGTGTTGCATAGTCCTGTTCCAAAACTTTAGTGTTGCATAGTCCTGTTCCAAAACTTTAGTGTTGCATAGTCCTGTTCCAAAACTTTAGTGTTGCATAGTCTTGTTCCAAAACTTTAGTGTTGCATAGTCTTGTTCCAAAACTTTAGTGTTGCATAGTCTTGTTCCAAAACTTTAGTGTTGCATAGTCCTGTTCCAAAACTTTAGTATTGCATAGTCTTGTTCAAAAACTTTAGTGTTGCATAGTCCTGTTCCAAAACTTTAGTGTTGCATAGTCCTGTTCCAAAACTTTAGTGTTGCATAGTCCTGTTCCAAAACTTTAGTGTTGCACAGTCCTGTTCCACAACTTTAGTGTTGCATAGTCCTGTCCCAAAACTTTAGTGTTGCACAGTCCTGTTCCAGAACTTTAGTGTTGCGTGCACATTAGTTTCACTGATATGACTCATTTATGTGCAGGTTGTTGGTTTCTCACCTCTCAGATGCTCCCAGCTAGTTCACTCTTACGACATGCTTTTGAGTAGTCAGTGGGTCTGTTCTTGTTTTCCCAACAACCGGGCCCTTTAACCCACATTGGAGATTCCCCACTACAGTTAATAATGAACATGAAAAAAAACATTTCATAATATAAACTATTTGAGTACTTGTCTGTTTGTTAAATGTCAACTGTGAGCTAGCAGAACTGAGGTAGTTAACACTTGTCATTTGTAAGAGAATAATTCAGGCGGGAGTGATTTTCTGTCCGAGGGAATGGGGGGGAGGGAAGGTGAACTTTTAATCAGGTTGCCACTGGCTGCATGGTAGCCGCTGCGGTGTAGCAGCTAGATGCTCGCCTGCGGATCTGAAAGCTGTGGGTTCAGATCTTTACAGAGCTGGACTTTTTTTTTTCACAATGATCTTATCTCCGAGGTTGATGCAACATTAAAAAGGTATCAGGTAAAGTCCTGGGAAAGTAAAGGTGACCAGTGTGTTATTGACCATATCACCTATCAAGTGACAATTGGTCTGTAAAATATAGGTCTAGCCCTATATGCCCAATGCTTCTAAAGGCGTGTAAAAGGTTCCTTTGCTTTGCCTACTAGCACTGTCAGTTTGTTAACTCTTTTTTGGCTACTGAGGGAGGGGAAGGAGTAGGTATGAGGATGATACGAGCTCAGTGATATTATTTCTCAGTTGATTTGTTCATTTATTAGATCTTTCAGTCCTAAGCAACGCACAATGTATTACTGACTATACCCCACATGTCTGAAATATAACACCAAGTGTCTTCGTGTATTTATATTTTGGTCTGTGTGTAATAAATAAATCTGGAAAATACAGATGTATCTTTCAGTCATTTTTCATTCCTACAACACAGCAAGTTCTTGAAGTTTTTGTGGCAGAATGTATGAAATAAAATAATGATTTTCTTACAAAACTGTGTGTGACTGACAGAATAAATTTATAAATTAGCAACAGTGAGATAGTTTTAACTGTAATTATTTTGGTCTCAGATTTGCCAACAGTGCAATGAGAATGAATGACCCCCTACAGACACTTTATCAGCTGATGTCAGGACGCCAGCCGGCAGCTGTCACCGTGAGTTCTGATATTGTCAGTCGTTGGTCTTTATAATCACTTCTGTTGATCATGTTTTGTAGTTTGCCAACATTTTCCCAGCATATATCGCAACCCATCTTGTCAACAAAAAGGAAACAGCCATGTTTGCTTACATCGTGTCAACAAATATGATAACCCATTCTCTAAATTTGCCTACATCTTGTTAACAGATATGACAACCCATTCCCCAAGTTTGCTTACATCTTGTCAACAGATATGACAACTCATTCCCCAAGTTTGCTTACACATTGTCAACAGATATGACAACCCATTTCCCGAGTTTGCCTAAATCTCATAAACGTATATGAAAACCTATTTCCCTAAGTTTTGCTTACATCTTGTTAGCAAATATGACCACCTTTTAACCATGTTTGCTTACATCTTGTTTACAAAAATGCAACTTTATTCTCATATTTACTTACATCTCATCAACATGAATGACAACTCATTCTCCATGTTCGCTTACATGTCTCAACGAACATGACAACATGTTTCCCATATTTGCTTACATCTCATAACAAATTTGACTGCCCATTTCTCATTTTCCTTACCACTGGTCAACAAAAATACAACCATATTCTCAAAATTTCTTACATCTCGTCAACAAACATAAAAACCCATTTCCCATGTTCACTTACATCTTGTCAACAAATATAACATACCATTTCCCATATTCGCGCTAACAGTGTGTTCTAGACGAACGCTGGGGTGACTGGCGGCCCCACCTGGCAATGATACTGTCCAACCAGTCGTCAAAAAATGATATCCATCGCAAGAGTATCAGCACACTGGGTGATACACTAGGTATCATTTGTTGTTTGATTTGTTCTTTCAGTGTTGTTGTTTGCTTTGTTATTTCACTGTTGTTGTTTGCTTTGTTATTTCAGTGTTGTTTGCTTTGTTATTTCAGTGTTGTTGTTTGCTTTGTTATTTCAGTGTCGTTTGCTTTGTTATTTCACTGGTGTTGTTTGCTTTGTTATTTCAATGTTGTTTGCTTTGTTATTTCAGTGTTGTTGTTTGCTTTGTTATTTCAGTGTTGTTGTTTGCTTTGTTATTTCAGTGTTGTTGTTTGCTTTGTTATTTCAATGTTGTTGTTTGCTTTAATACAATGTTGTTTGCTTTGTTGTTTCAGTGTTGTTGTTTGCTTTGTTATTTCAATGTTGTTTGCTTTATTTCATTGTTGTTGTTTGCTTTGTTATTTCAGTGTTGTTGTTTGCTTTGTTATTTCAGTGTTGTTGTTTGCTTTGTTATTTCGGTGTTGTTGTTTGCTTTGTTATTTCAGTGTCGTTTGCTTTGTTATTTCACTGGTGTTGTTTGCTTTGTTATTTCAATGTTGTTTGCTTTGTTATTTCAGTGTTGTTGTTTGCTTTGTTATTTCAGTGTTGTTGTTTGCTTTGTTATTTCAGTGTTGTTGTTTGCTTTGTTATTTCAATGTTGTTGTTTGCTTTAATACAATGTTGTTTGCTTTGTTGTTTCAGTGTTGTTGTTTGCTTTGTTATTTCAATGTTGTTTGCTTTATTTCATTGTTGTTGTTTGCTTTGTTATTTCAGTGTTGTTGTTTGCTTTGTTATTTCAGTGTTGTTGTTTGCTTTGTTATTTCGGTGTTGTTGTTTGCTTTGTTATTTCAGTGTTGTTGTTTGCTTTGTTATTTCAGTGTTGTTGTTTGCTTTGTTATTTCAGTGTTGTTGTTTGCTTTGTTATTTCAGTGTTGTTGTTTGCTTTGTTATTTCAGTGTTGTTTGCTTTGTTATTTCATTGCTATTGTTTGCTTTATTTCAATGTTGTTTTTCTTCAGTTTTTTTTTTTGTTCTGTTCATTGATTTTGTGTGTGTGCTGGTAGATTACTATATGGTGCTAAAATATGCAGATATCACAGCCTAGCTTAAAAACATTAAAAAAAATTTTCAGACTTGTTAATTAGTTCCGTTTGTCTGAATGTTATGCTTAAGATCAGTGTTATCAACACACTAGGTATCAAAAATTTCTTGTTTGACTGCTAATTTTTTTTTCCAAACTTTTTTTGAATAATTCAGTTTATCTGAATGTTATGCTTAAGATCAGTGTTATCAACACACTAGGTATCAAACATTTCTTGTTTGACTGATAATTTTTGTGTTTAGACTTGTTGATTAATTCAGTTTATCTGAATGTTATGCTTAAGATCAGGGTTATCATCACACTAGGTATCAAACATTTCGTGTTTGACTGGTTATTTCTTCTTCCTCCGCCTTTCCTGCGTTTGCCTCTAAAATGACAGTTGGTGTGTTGCGTTGTGGTTGGTTCCTTGCCGCTGAGGCAGATGCAGTCCAACACTGAAGGAATTCACAACCCAGGCTTTGTGCAGTGGAGAGGTGAAGCGTCAACCCTGGCCTCAAGTGCTATCACCATGGCCACTAGTTCCAATGTTTCCCTGTGTAGCACCACAATGGAATATTTTTCATTGATTGTTAATTTTAGAGATCATCTTTACCGCACATCAGACACGACCAAAAGTGTTCCGATCTCCTCCTGACTATGTGCCTGCAAGTGTTTTTAGGCCAAGAACTCCCATTTCTATTAAACGTATGACACTTGATGCTCACAGATGAGAATCTCAGTGCAGTGCACGAAGCTCCGTATCATCAGTGAGGATCCTGCTGACCAGCAAAATCATAGACAATCACTTCATGTTAGTAAAAAAAAAAAAAAACTCAACAGAATCAATTTGTTGTGGTAAATAAAAGTGATTATGCGGCCATCCTATGTGACATCCTCGTGCTATACTACTAAGTTGAATTGAGTTGATTCAAAAACCGACATCACAGCACTCTGGCATTCCCATAAGTGCTCCGTCCCCATCCTCAGCAGCCAATGAAGAGTTCCGATACTAATGGTGCCAGTAGCATTCTGATTAAACGTCCATCTTGCCTTTTCTCTGAGTCTCGAGCATCTGCCAGAACCTCTCGTCACTTCCCGCTGCATCAGTCTCACCAGACTGGTGATCAATCTGCTTCTCCGAACTGTACACGCTCTCCCACAAGGCACCAGCCACGCTATACTACTATCAAATTATGACACGCTAGATGTTGTAAGGGCCCTTTGGGAGTGAGTTATCAGTGCAGAGTAACGAATAGGTGAAACATTATCGCATGGAAAAATTAAAAGGTGCCAAAATGAGTAGAAATGTTGCTAGTGTTTAGGTTGAAGAGATTTGATTCTCTTTCCTCAGCTGCCAAAGGTTACCTGTATGCCAGCCACTTCTGCTACCTCATGGCACAAGTCAGTTTTGGAAACTATTTCAACAAGACCTCAAAGATTGTTCTCATTGGCTCTAGTCACAAGTTAGTATCTTATCTTATTCCTTTCTTTTCACCTTTCTCGTTTCCTTGATTCATTCCTTCTATACCATCCTCATTCATTCTTTTCATCCCTCTTGTTTATTCCTTTTTCCCTTTATGTTCCTTCTTTCTTTCCCTCAACCCTTCCTTCAAGTATTTTTCCTCACACCCTTCCTTCTGTCTTTACATATGTACTTTCTTATCATAGAGTTTGCTGTCTCTTTCTCTCTCCCACTTTATCCTTCCCTACTTCAGGCGTTCCTTCCTTCCTTTCTTTCTTCTCCTTTCTTTCAGTACTTTCTTATTTTACTCATTAACTCCTTTTCTCTCCCTCCTGCTGGCCTCCCTCCCCTGGTTCTTCCCTTCTCTCTCTCCTTGCCAGAGCCATCTTAATGGCATAATGAGCCCCTGGGCAAACCAGTGTGCCGGGACCCTTATGACAACCACCCATAGGAATGAAATATTTATTTATAGTAAGTCACTTGACATATGCAGATTAGCATGAGGCCCTATGCTCGTGAGGCCCCTGGGCTAGTGCTGAGCTGGCAAGATGGCCCTGAATGTATAGTTCTATGATTATTCATGTGGATGCTCTAAATGGTGTGACCAGCCTAACGGTTTGAAAACTACTTCTGCTATTAATCTAGTCTTACAAAAATGGCTACCCACAAATATCCTTGGAAGTTATAGAAATTCAAAGAAATTCTTAGCCACTTCAGCTACAAAATGTATTTCAGCAGACACCCAGGGATGCTTCGAGCAGAGTGGCAAGCTTTACTGGGAAGGTCACGGGTAGTGAGCATACTTTGGATCTTTTCTCCAGGCTTAGTGAGTAATTGACAGGCAGACAGATTGGCTGGATCTGCACCACTGGGTGGGGAACTGATACATGACAAGGCAGATGTTGTCAAGGCTCTTTGGGAACAAGCAACAGAATCAGTAGAGAAACAAGATTATTATGGCCTGGAGAGAATGAGGCACCTGGGTGTAACCAGAGGATCTGGCCGGCTCACTAAACTCAGAGGAAATGGAAGACGGACATATAACCAGATTGTGACCGGTACCATCAGTATTTGAAGTCTGCGCTGGCTGCTGAAGATGAGGACAGAGTACACGTGGGAATGCCCTGAGTGCGGTGATGTCAATTCTCGACTCAACTCAACTCAACTTAACCCAGAATAAAATCTCACCCATGGCTTACTCATCAAAGTCATTTACTGCTAACATCTCCAGGTTTAATATCATCATCATCTTGGTCCGGTAATTCTGATCAGATCTAGCCACCTCTATCGATCAGAAGCATTAGATTTGATGTTTTCGTATTGGAGGTCCATCCAGTCAGTTAAATTTTATCTCCAGTTTTTTTTTTCCACCTGTCTCTTCTCCTTTTCTTATGTACCAAGAGTGTATCAAATTGATGTGCCTTGTAGATAGATCTAGGTCCTTATTAACATGAGGAATGGATTCACAGATATTGATTGGCACTTCAGCGAAATATGCCAGGCAATAAATTGTGCAATCTGTTGTTTGTCTTCTTTATTCAAATCTACAACGGGGAATAATATAATAATTGATAATTCTTGTGACCTTCTTTTATAATGCCTGATTGTACAGATTCCTTTTTTATTTTCTTCTTTTATTCTTAATAATAGTTTGTCCATGGAGGAGTTTGCTAGCAATGAAGCCATACAATGCACAGAAGTGTACGAGTACGCACAGGCACTAGGAAACCCCACGTATTGCCTCCCTCACTTACAGGTTGTGTATTGTGTTTTATTGTTTGTCCTTAGCTGTCAGTGTTTCAGTGTGGTGCTCATAGTATCAGAGATATGAATGGGGAGCGGCAGTAGCATGGTGGCTAGATGCTCTCCTACCGGTCCAAAGGTATTAGTTTCAAATCCCCCTTAAGCTGGATTTTTGAACGTTCTTGGATTGATAACAAAGCATGTCTTAATGGATTACTTTCCCCAAAGTGAGGAAAATAAGAATAGACCCACTGCCTCCCTAACAAGCATGTCATAGGAGTCGACTAATTGGGGGCTTCTTTCGAAGTTGGAATGCTGTAAGGAACAACCAACTGCACACAAATAGACCAGTAAAATGGGTGCACATGCTAAACTCAGGTCATGGCGCAAAGCCAGAGTCCAAATGGACAAACAACCAGGACTTTGCGCCGGAGCTAACAGCTGATGAACAAAGAAGAAGAAAAAGAATGCATTGCTGAGTACGTCTTCTAGAAGAGATAACTAAGTATGTCTTGAATGTATTACTGGGTCTGTCTTCTTGAATGGATTACTGAGTATGTCTTCTTGAATGTATTACTGAGTCTGTCTTCTTGAATGGATTACTGAGTATGTCTTCTTGAATGGATTACTGAGTATGTCTTCTTGAATGGATTACTGAATATTTCTTCTGGAAGAGATAACTGAGTATGTCTTGAATGTATTACTGAGTCTGTCTTGAATGGATTACTGTCTTAAATGGATCACTGAGTATGTCTTGAATGGATTACTATAATATGTCTTGAATGTATTCCTGAGTCTGTCTTCTTGAATGGATTACTGAGTATTTCTTTAATGGATTACTGAGTCTGTCTTCTTGAATGGATTACTGAGAATATCATACTGGTTGCTCATATATTTGCAGATTTACAAGTTCATGTATGCTTGCCGGCTAGCAGATTACGGCATGGTTTCTGAGGTAGGTTGTGGTGTGTTGATATGTTTCTTGGTGATTTAAAACGGCCCAGCAGAGGGCAAAAGGAAAGGTTAATAACACTCTGACCTCTCATTCATGTTGTTCCCTGTGTTGGTTCCTGGGGGGCCCCCATTTAGGAAGGGGGGGGGGGGAGTAGACCCGACATTCCACACCCAACATGCATGTCATAAGAAGGGAACTAATTAGCTGTTTCCTGAAATTGAATGTGTTGGGCCGAAGCGTGCAGATATCGCGGTCTAGCTGTCAACCACAACACAATGTCCCAACTACCCTCTTAAGGGTGAATGCAGAAGAAGAAGAATACAGCTGTGGAGTTCAAGCAGGGAACAGGCATCCTCAGCACATTAAACTCTTACAGTCCCGGGGTGTAGCATCAGAGTACAAGAGAGAGGTTTAATCAACACATCCTGCATTCATTGGGTTTCTAGGTAGGAGGAACCTATGAGTGTATGATGTGTTTCTTGGAACTGAAAGAGTTAAACATAAGTTGCAAAATCTTTGCATTCATGAACTTTTCATCTTCTTCACATTCACTGAAGAACAATTATTACATCTGTGCTGTACTGAACAGAATAATTGTTATATCTGTGCTGTACTGAACAGAATAATTGTTATATCTGTGCTGTACTGAACTCAACAGTTGTTACATCTGTGCTGTACTGAACTCAACAGTTGTTACATCTGTGCTGTACTGAACTCAACAGTTGCTACATCTGTGCTGTACTGAACTCAACATTTATTACATCTGTGCTGTACTGAACTCAATAGTTTTTACATCTGTGCTGTACTGAACTCAACATTTATTACATCTGTGCTGTACTGAACAGAATAATTGTTATATCTGTGCTGTACTGAACTGAACAATTATTACATCTGTATTGTACTGAACTCAACAGTTGTTACTTCTGTGCTGTACTGAACTCAACAGTTGTTACATCTGTGCTGGACTGAACTCAACAGTTGTTACATCTGTGCTGTACTGAACTCAACATTTATTACATCTGTGCTGTACTGAACTCAACAGTTGTTACATCTGTGCTGTACTGAACTCAACATTTATTACATCTGTGCTGTACTGAACAGAATAATTGTTATATCTGTTCTGTACTGAACTGAACAATTATTACATCTGTATTGTACTGAACTCAACAGTTGTTACTTCTGTGCTGTACTGAACTCAACAGTTGTTACATCTGTGCTGTACTGAACTTAACATTTGTTACATCTGTGCTGTACTGAACTCAACAGTTGTTACATCTGTGCTGTACTGAACTCAACAGTTGTTACATCTGTGCTGTACTGAACTCAACAGTTGTTACATCTGTGCTGTACTAAACTCAACAGTTGTTACATCTGCGCTGTACTGGACTCAACAGTTGTTACATCTGTACTGTACTGAACAGAATAATTGTTATATCTGTGCTGTACTGAACTGAACAGCTTAGACATCAATTATTTGAACAGTTTATCCTCTACTCTTGTCTAGGCCCTCGGCTACTGTGAAGTGATTGCCAACAATATACTGCAGAATCCTACACACTTCCAGGCTCCATTTGTGGGGCTGGTCTGCCAGGTGAGTAAGTGTGTAGTGTGTGCTCTTGGTCAAGTTTACCTGCCCTTGGCCTGCTTTTGTTCATCATTGATGTCTGTCTTCTGCTGACCTCAGTGCTACGTTGACTTCCAGTGTCAGATCTCTTTACAGCTGGACATCCAAAGAGTTCTTCGCTTGACTAGTTATTTATTTTTACAATTTTAATTAAAATAATTATTTAAAAAAGGAGATTGTCTGGGCAGCCACTGGTAGCAACAGTTATAAGACGGAGAAGCTGGGAAAAAGAAGGATCAAGGAAACGAGCATGTCCAGGAGAAACCTTGAGGTAAACATTGATAAGAGAAGCCAAAGGTGCCAGAATAGATTCCATCCATGAAATCAGATTGCACGGCATTGAACGTAATGAACAAATAGACTGTGAGCCCTATGTGACATATAATGACACAACATGACAAAACAAATGAATGAATCAATCAAAAGAATAACATCAGTTCACTAAATTTGCTGTAATTTTTTTCTTTAAAAAAACTTATGTTACTGCCTGAATTACTTACTACTGTTTGTGGCTATGTACAATGGAGGGGGAAGTGGTGGGAGGAGGCCTTGAGCCTGAAAGTTTAGGGCCACATGACTAGTTCAGTCGCCACGAACTGTACGGGTTAGGATGTTTATTTTCGCCCCCGACAGAAACAAAAACCTTCATCACCTTACCAGGGGTTTGAACCCTGGTCTTCTGTGTAAGAGCTACGCATTCTAAACATTCAGCTAGCCAGCCACTCGTTTTCAGTGCAATAAAAGGTCATCCTAAACTAAGAACGGCACTTTGTGATATTTAATTCTTAACACGTTTCTTTCGACCAGATTCAGGTTTTAATTTGTATATTCCAGCTGGCGACTTAAATAATGATAAGACGTACCCTGACCTGAGTTGAGTTGAGTCAAAAATTGACATCACAGAACTCGGGGCATTCCCATGTGTGCTCCGCCCTCATCTTCAGCAGCCAACGCAGTTTCACTACTGATGGTACCGGTCACAATTTGGCTATATGTCTGTCTTGCTTTTCCTCTGAGTGTAGTGAGCCAGCCAGACCCTCTGGTTACACCCAGGTGCCTCATTCTCTCCAGGCCATAATAATCTTGTTTCTTTACTGATTCTGTTGCTTGTTCCCAAAGGACCTTTACCACATCTGCCTTGTGATATATGAATTCACCATCCAGTGGTGCAGATCCAGCCAATCTGTCTGCCTGTTCATTGCCCACTACCCTGAGCTGAGAGGGAAAAAAATCCAGATCTTTCTCAGTAGTTGATTGGTGGTTTATACCTACCTTCTAGTTCCTCACCAGAAAACTGCTCATCTGCTAACTCAAGAATCCATGAGATTTTGTTAGACATTGTATTCTTATCTGTTGAGCTGTTTCAGCAGATTTAAGGCTTTCCTAATCATAAAAAGTGTAAATAATTTTAACATTCACTTTGCTTTATCACAAAGTCCAAGATCAGGTCTCTGAACAGCTTTACCCCCTGTGTGGGTTCTGGAATCTCAAGGGGTTGGGGGGGGGGGGGGGGGGGCAAGAATAGGCCTCCACTACCTCTCTAACAAGCATGTCATAAGAGTTTACTGATAATGGCAGTGTTCCCCAAAATGTACACCAGGAATAGTCATACTTTTACTTGAGTTAGGGTGGAAAAATTTTAATTGAAAAAAGACGCTGCGACCAAGAAGAGTTTGGGACACACTGAATTAACTGATTCCTTCAAAGTCTGAGTGCATCTGCCTGAGAGACAAGGAACTAACAATCTGCTAAGCTAAATCTGTCCTGACCTCACTCTTTCACACACAAAATTTCATTCATACATCAGTTAACTCATTTGCCTTGGATACCCTTTGGAGAAAAAACCCAGAACCAAGCGAAAAACACAGCTCACTAGTAAATGTTTTTAATGTATTTGTATACGTTTTAAAACACTGCGCAGATGCAGAAATAGCAGATGCTGTTAACTAGGCCAAACATTCACTGGCCAATACAACAATGCTGGTTTAGTGGGTTCTCAGAGATTTATAACAGACAATCATGCTGAATGAGCGGCATCTTTTGTGTTTTTAACCGACCGCTTCTTTGGGATTTGTAACGGACAGTGATGACAGATTAGTGGCATCTCGGGTCACATGGTTAATGCTAGACAACTAAAATATCTGTTTATACCGTCCGTGGTCTTTTTTAAAAAACTTATCTACTGAATCAGTTGATACTCTAATGAAAGTTGTTGTTTTTGTTTCACTGGTAGATGTCAAGGAAGTTGCAATTTGCAGATCCTCATCTTCAGATGTCAGGAGATGAAGGAGAAGGTCAGGTGTGGATTCAGAAACTGGAGGAGATTTGTGCAGCATTTGAGGTGAGTGGTGCTCTGCCATAGATGGGATTTCAAAGGTTTCTAGTTTATATTCAGACGATCTACAGTCGAATCTGGATAAGTAGAAGTTGCAGGGACCTAAGAAAATGCTTCCACTTATCAGGATTTCTACTTATCCAGACAGCACACACAATAGAGAAAATTGCCAGGACTAAGCTGGTCGTGTCGACTTAACCGAAGTTCGACTTATCCGAGTTCGACTTAAGTAGACTCGACTGTATTTATATCTAGACAATCCATTTATATCCAGACAATCCATTTATATCCAGACAATCCATTTATATCTAGACAATCCATTTATATCCAGACAATCCACCCCTGTTTGTTACTGGAGTCTCAGGGAAGTAAAGAATAGTAACCTTGTATCCTACCTGACTGGACAGGACACACTTTGAGAAAACTTGATAACAATATAACTGGAATGTCTTTGCTCTGGAACCCATGGGGTCAAAGGGATAAAGGCAGATCAAAACCACATGAAGAAAAGAATTGGAGATTGAGATGGAGAAAGATGGAGATGACCTAGAGTTTAACTGCACATGATGGCAAAAAATAGTTTTGACTTTTTGAAATTAGGCTGATGACCTTTGCATCATTAGGGATAAAGGGGGGAAAAAAAGAAGAAGAACCGAGATGATGAATCATTTTTACAGTCATGCCTAGCCACAAAATTCTGTCTCATGTACTTTCATTCAACTCTGACACAGATGATCCTTCATGCCATGACGTCAGACTGTCCAGCAGCTTTTCTCTGGTTTCCCTCTGCCTCTTCTTCTCCCCAACTTTTCTGCTGTCATGAAATACTTCAGTTTTCTCCTTCTCATCACATAACCACAGAATTTAGACTGTCTCCCTTTGATGTTGGCCTCGAATTGGAGAGTTTACTTATAAGGGCAGTGTTTCCCAAACTGGGGTGGAGGCCTATTCTCACTACACTCAGAGGAAAGGCAAGACGGACTTTTAACCACATTGTGACTGGTATCATCGGTATTGGAACTCCGCGCTGGCTGCTGAAGATGAGGACGGAGCAGGCATGGGAATGCCCCGAGTGCTGTGATGTCAATTCTTGACTCAACTCAACTCAACCAGTTGTCCTCGAGAGTCAGTTTCAGACAAACTACTGGCTACATTTGTTTTTGTGTTGTGAATTTGTGTTTAAATTTGTCAGGTGGGCCGCCAATTTTCTCTGTTTTGATGGACTGTATGTTTAAAAAGGTTGAGAAATACTGCCATAAATGGCCTAAAAACTATCCAGATTGGTTAATTTAGTTATCTCAATGGTTTCTTTTCTAATTTGTACCAAATAGCCTCCTAAAAACATTCTCTTAGCAGTTTATTTTAACTTATCTCAATGGTTTCTTCAAATTAATCCAAGATGACTTCCTAAAAAATGTATCCCAAATAGTTTCTTTTAACTTGTCCTAAAAAAATAAGCAGTAAAGGACCCTTTTTCGTCTTTAGGCGTATAGGGCATATAGGGCTAGACCTATATTTTATAGACCGATCGGCTATCTTTACTTCACGGGACTGCACCTGGTACCCACTCAAGGCTGGGTCGACCTGGGAGCCAAGGTCATTTTGAAAAAGTCTGGCTCTGATATGGAGCGAACCCGTGACCTTCCGATCCGCGGTTAGCATCTAGCTGCTCTGCCACGGCGACTCCAACTTATCCCAATGATTTCTTCTAATTTATCCCAAATGCTTTCATTAAAAACTTATCCCAATGGTTTCTTCTAATTTATCCCAAATGCTTTCATTAAAAACTTATCCCAATGGTTTCTTCTAATTTATCCCAAATGCTTTCATTAAAAACTTATCCCAATGATTTCTTCTAATTTATCCCAAATGCTTTCATTAAAAACTTATCCCAGATAGTTTCTTCAGTTTCTTCCAGCTGATCCAAAATGGTTTTCAATCCTTGTGACTAGGATGGTTCCATACAGTCGCTGTCGGAAACGGTGACCCAGGCTGGGTTATCAGGTCCCACTACACACAGTAGTGAGTACACTCAACCCGGATATGGGGGCGGTGGAGATACAGCACCTTCTGCAGGTGTGTCTGCTGGGATTGTGTATGATCAACAGGTAGGTTGGTTTACCTTTGTTGTTGATTGTTGTTTCTTTTCAGTTTAAACTGTAGTATAATCTTTTGATGTTAATCCTCCCACTTGTATCACTTTAAGAATGGCCCCTCTGTGGACAGGAGAGACATCTTTAGTGCCATATGAGAAGCTAAACGCTGTGAGGCTTTCAGTTTCATGGAAACTGACTTTTCACTGAATAGACTGCATACCCTGGGTATACCCATTAAATCGGTGAAACAGGAAACCATGTGGGAGCCACCCGTCGTTACATCAGCCAGAACAGAATGGGAGTTGTTAGCCTAAAAACACTTAGAGACATACTCAGGAGGAGACCAGAGACATACTCAGGAGGAGACCAGAGACATACTCAGGAGGAGATCAGAGACATACTCAGGAGGAGACCAGAGACATACTCAGGAGGAGACCAGAGACATACTCAGGAGGAGACCAGAGACATACTCAGGAGGAGACCAGAGACATACTCAGGAGGAGATCAGAGACATACTCAGGAGGAGATCAGAGACATACTCAGGAGGAGACCAGAGACATACTCAGGAGGAGATCAGAGACATACTCAGGAGGAGACCAGAGACATACTCAGGAGGAGACCAGAGACATACTCAGGAGGAGACCAGAGACATACTCAGGAGGAGACCAGAGACATACTCAGGAGGAGATCAGAGACATACTCAGGAGGAGATCAGAGACATACTCAGGAGGAGACCAGAGACATACTCAGGAGGAGACCAGAGACATACTCAGGAGGAGACCAGAGAAATACTCAGGAGGAGACCAGAGACATACTCAGGAGGAGACCAGAGACATACTCAGGAGGAGATCAGAGACGTACTCAGGAGGAGATCAGAGACATACTCAGGAGGAGACCAGAGACATACTCAGGAGGAGACCAGAGACATACTCAGGAGGAGACCAGAGACATACTCAGGAGGAGACCAGAGACATACTCAGGAGGAGATCAGAGACGTACTCAGGAGGAGATCAGAGGGCTTATGATCATGTCCAATGTGCGATGAAGATGATCTCAAAAGTGAACAATGAACTTGTATCACTTTATGTCTTTTTGGTCGCCTGGGTTTAATTTTCCCCTTCAGCATGTTTTGTATGAGACATACATTGTTCAGAGAAACAGTGAACAGTGCCCAGGCACTGACTGATCATTACGGTCTTTGGAGAATGGCACTGCGAGGAGTTACAACATGATCTGACCACTCAGGGGAAAGGTGAGACAGATATACAGTCAGACAGTTACTAGTACCACTTGAATTTTAACTCTTCGCTTGCTGCTGAAGATGGGGATGGGGCGCTCATGGGGGTGTCCCCAGTGCTGTGATGTCGATTCTCAATTCAACAATCAGCATTCAGAGAAACCAAAGGCTCTGGAGTGGATTCCATCCCTGATGTTGAGAGGATTGCAGAGGAAGAACAGAATAGAGGAATACACTATGAGCCTTATATCCTTGTTAATTGGCTTAGTGCTCATCTTTATGGTAGTGAAATGTATGTATACCCATAGATATGGCTTCTTCTTCTTTTCTTTTGTTGTCTCACTGATATCAGGCTGTAGCTTAGTGTCGCGAATTTCTGAAGTAGTCGTGCACTTTTCTGGTGGCTTGGGTGATGGATTTGTTCATCTTTTTTGCGTAGATATGGCGAAATAGCTTCAACTTGCTATACCAAAGAATAGTTGGTTATAGTTGGTTAGTTAGTTAGTCGATAGATTATCCTCATTGCACATTGACCCACTCAGTCCATAAGTGCTCGGATCCCCTCCTCAGTAAATCCTGCAGCGTGTAGCGGCTGACGACACCAGTTCTGTGTTGGTTTATTACTCTTCTTTGGCTGCCTGCGTAGTGTTCTTATTTGGTGACACCCTGTTTAACTTGCTGTTTTTGCTGTCGGTTGCATATTCACATTTCTTAGTTGGTTCACGCAAATGTCTTAAATCTCTTAAGAGCTTTCAGTATATCAGCTTGGTCCATGGCTTGTCCATCTTTCACAGAAGCCTTACCTGCAAGTATATCAGCTTGCTTATTTCCTTGTAGCCCCGCATGTCCTGGCACGAAAATTAAACTAATCCTTGTCAGCTGTGAATTCTGTAGAGCCACCAACCACTGCCTGCAGACCCAGCCCTTCTCTATCTTCCTGGGCATATTCATTGAGTCACTGAGAAAGCATGCTCCAATGCCAAAGATTGTTTGGTTTTATGAGGTAAAATAAGGTTACAAGCAGCGAGTATTTTTCTGTTTTAGATTGTAATATTCTTCTGCTGTTTTAATTACTTTTTATTTTTTTTATTTTTTTTTATTTTTGGTTCACTAGTTGTAAACTACATCTGAAAGTTCTGGTTGTTTATCCACTTCTGGACTTTAATCTTGTTCCAGAACTCAAGATTTGCATGCACATCCGTTTTACAGATCTTGCTTATTTGTATGCAGACTATTGGTTCCTCACCTCTCAGACAGATACATTCTGACTTAGAAGTAAACAGCCCTAATTAGTCACCTTTTATGACAGGCTTGTTAGAGGGCAGTGGGTCTGTGTTTTTTTGTCCCCTGTGATGGGGCCCCGGAGCCCACCTGGGGAAGACTGTAGTCATTATCTGGGTTTATGTTTACGTAAGGTTAAAGTTGAGAGGATCGACCTGGTTTGATCCCATATGGCTGGGACTGTCTCCGCAGAACTGCGTAGCTCCGGGCAACAATCCATAGGTATCTCCATACAAATTGCATTCGTGAACTGAACAGCACAGCCATGAAATGAACCCATGACCTTTTAGAGCGCGAGGCAAATGGCTTGACTACTTCGCCACTTAGACCCCTATCTGGTGCCAACCGAATATCCAAATCTTGTTTGTAATAAAGTACAGGAAGGGACTTGAAAAGTGAGAGAATGAAAAAAGAGAGAGAGAGTAGGAGAGAGAGAGAGGGGGAGAGAGAGGTGAGAGAGAGTAGGAGGGAGGGAGGGGGAGAGAGAGAAAGAGAGGAGAGAGAGAGATTTCCAATTGACAGTATATTTTATTTCAGGTTCAAGCACTTGGAGTCCACTCAGCTGCACGGGAGGTTAATGCCGTGACTGGTCATTTGGAGAACCTGAGCCTCACTGACCAGCTGCAGCCTCAGACTTATGGTCAGTATCCTGGATATGGTCAACAGCAAGAGTACAGTCAGCATCAGCAAGTATATAGCCAGCAAGATAGCAGTCAGCTACAACAGCCGCAGGAATACAGCCAGCAACAGCCGCAAGAATACAGCCAACAGCAGTACGATTACAACCAATGGCAGCAGCAGCAGCAGTATGGTAAGCCTCTTCTTTTTTCTCGTTCACCAGCTGTAAACTTTGGCGGAAATTTTTGGTTGTTAGTCAACTTCTGGACTTTAATCTTGCTCTAGAACTTGAGTTTTGTGTGCACATCCATTTTACAGATCTGGTTTATTTGTATGCAGATTGTTGGTTCCTTGCCTCTCAGTCAGATGCACTCCGACTTTGAAGGAAACACTTCTGATAAGTTGATTTTGACGACATGCTTTTCAAGGGTAATTAATCTTTTAAGGGTAATTGGTCAGTTAAGGGTAATTGATCTTTTAAGGGTAATTGGTCTGTTAAGGGTAATTGATCTTTTAAGGGTAATTGGTCTGTTAAGGGTAATAAGGAGGGGGGGGGGTCTCTGTGATAAAGTGGTCAAGCCATTTGCCTCGTGCTGTGAGAGTCATGGGTTCGTTTCACGGCTGCGCCCTTCCGTTCACAAGTGCAATGTTTACTGGGATCCCTGGGGATTGTCACCGGAGCTATGGAGTTCGTGCTGTGCACAGCACTTTTGGCAGGCGATTAGCCGTTCTGAGGAAAGAGACCGAGCCATATGGGATAAAACCCAGTGCAATGAAATTGATCGTTTTAACTTTAACTTTTAATTTATTGGTCTGTTTTTTTGTTGTTGGTGTGTTTTGTTTCTTTATGAAAGTAGGTTCTGGAACAGACAAGAGGAAAAGTGGCACATGCAGTTTGTGGATATAAGGCAGATAAAGAATACAAGAAAGGATGAATATTCCCATGTAGATCAAGAACTCCATTTGGGGGCGTGGAGAATAGACCCATGGCCCCCGACAAGCTTGTCTTAAAAGGGGACTCCCCATGTGTGTTCTTGGGCCTATTATAGGAAAAACAAGAATAGACACACTGTCTTCCCAAAAGCATATCATAAGAGTGGACTCATTGAGAGCTTCCTTTCGAAGTGGGAGTGCATCTGCCTGAGAGGCAAGGAACCAGCAGTTTGCATACAAATCAGTCAGATCTGTTAAAACGGATGCATACTCAACACTCAGTTTCTGGAACAGGACTGTAGTCCAGAAGTTGACGAACAACCAGAACTTTCCGCCGGAGTTTACAAATTGTGAAGAAGAAGAAGATAACAAATGACTAACAGAGAATGTTGAAGATCCAGTTAAGCCAGTTTATTTGGCGATGCACCTCATTGATTGTATGGATAAGATACATAATAAGACTTTCTTCCTCTTCCATCTGCAGCATCTCTGCTGGACCATTCGTCCACATCCATGCCTCCGACTAACCAGGGATATGGTCACTATACTGAGGACCAGCATCAGTTACCTCAACGAGCCAGCTTGAGTACTAATGAGCTTTCTGAGGATGATGACGATGATGTTGATGATGTTGATGATGATGATAATGGTGCTGGTGATGATCATGTACTGGGTGGCTCTTCTGCTGGGTTTGACTACTTTGGCAATGTTGGTGGGCAGGTGAGTCTGCAAGTTTATCATTGAAGGTTTCTGTTACAGATAGATACAAGTGAGTCTGCAAGTTTCTGAAATTTGTCATTTAATATTTGTGTTAAATGTTGGAAAGATATAAAACCGAATGAAAAGTATATCAGCGAACTTCACAATATAACAAACACAAACAGAATGTGAACGTTGCGGCTGTGGAGCCTTCTTCAGCGCATAAATAGATTAGACGATACTA